TTGGGGTGGCACCCGAGTCTCTTCATGGAATCACCATTAGCCCATTTTCCAGATGGGGAAACTGAGGCCTGGAGCCAACAAGGCAAAGCCCCTGATGGCCACAGGGCCTCCACCCTTCTGTTCCCGCTCCGCTCCTGCACTGGCTGCGTCGCCCAACACAGACCTGTTGGACTCCGTCCTCCCTCCCTCCTGAAGCGAGTTCACACTATCCCCCCCTCAGATCAGCGACTAGGCAGCCTCCCTGGGGACCTGCCAGGGAGCACATCGGGTAATTGTCCTGTTTTCTGTCAGCCGCCAGGCAATTCCCGGCTCGGGGATGAGCTGTTGACAGATCTCATCAAATCCGAGTCCTCTCCCTGTCGGATAAATACTTGGTGTCTGAGGTATAAATATTTGAAAGGGACCTTCTAATTACAGACTGTGTCAGGAATAGCAATTAGAGCCCCGGAAGGCAGAATCAAACGGCGTTTGACTTCCCGGTGCTTTTGAGCTGGCTTCCCTTGGGGCTGTCCCCCCAACCCCAACCCCAAGGAAGGGAGCAGGGAGGGGGTGGTGGAACGGGGCAGGAGGAGGGAGATGAGAAAAGAGAGCCAAGCTGGGGGTCTGGCCACTTCGCCGGGTGACCTTGAGTCGGCCACATGACCTCCTGAATTTTGGCCTTCTGATCAGGAAGGGTGGGACCCCCAATTCCCTTCGCAGGGCTCCCCCAGATGGGGCAGGGGTGATAGCTTGGAGGGAGGGGGGACCGGACTGGCATCAGAGCTGACACCACTGTGACTGCCCCCCCTGCCCTGCAGGCCATCAGGCTGGGGACAAAGTCGGCCAGAGAGGACAGGGAAGGCTGATGCCCGGAGGGGGCGCTGTGTGGGAAAGGCAGGGAGGTGGGGTGGTCTGGGGGTCCTGGAGAGTGGGGACCCCCTCTCAGTGCTCATGGTCTGAGAGGCAATTATGAGGGGGGGGTCCTCCAGGGTGGGTGGGGCTTAGAGTACCCGGCTTTTCCAGAGGTTCCTTCAGGTTCCAGAATCCCAGCCCGCCTGACCTTGGTAATGACCTGGACTGCTTCTCACCTGGGAGTGACAGAACAACAGCTGAACCCTTAAGGCCAGGCCCTGTTTGGGGGCTTTTGTGTTTTGTTTTGCTTTGTGGAGCTGTGACTCACATACCCTACAATTTCCTCTTTTATACTGTACAACCTGGTGGTTTTTAGCATGTTCACGAGGTTGTACAACCATCACCGCTAATTCCAGAACATTTGCATCACCCCAAGAAGAACCCCCACCCCCAGTCGGAAGTCACTGTCCAGCTCCCCACACCCCAGCCCCCCGAACCCACTAGCCTGTCTCCGTGGATCTGCCTGCTCTGGACAGTTCCTATAAATGGGGTCTCACACTGTGTGTCCTTCTGTGTCTGGCGTCTCTCACTGAGCACGATGTCCTCAAGGTCCCTCCACGCTGTGGCCTGTGCCAGAGCCTCGTCCCTTTTTATGGCTAATAATATGTCATTGTGTGGCACACATTAGGTGCTCAATCTATGCTTAGGAAGGACCTCAGGGAGGAGTCAGATGGGTGGTCCCTGCCTGGGGGCTGTACCTGCTCTCTTGTCCCTTAGTCCCTGTCTCGTAGAGCAGCACCACTAGATCCCCGGTCAGGAGGGAGCAGGTGGGGCCAGAGGTGGGCCCGTGGGGACCCCAAACTCCTCACCTGATGGGGGAGATGTGGCCCTGTCTTGGGAACCCCCAGTCTGATAGGGGAGACCACTTCTGCCCTCGGGAGCCCCCAGACACCCCTGTCTTTCTTAACTCAGTCTGATGGCAGAGACATGACCTTGCGCTTGGAAGCCCCCAGTCTGCGGGGGACTCGTGGCTCTGCCTCCAAAGACTTCCAGTGTGACATGGAAGAGACATGGCCCCACCTTCAGGGGGTCCCCAGTCTGATGGGGAAGGCAAGGTGCTCCTTCAAGGTCCCCCAGTCCCATGGAGGGACAGGGCCACAACTTGCAGGGCCCTGATGGAGGAGACGGGAGCCTGCATTGAAGAGTCAAGAGCCTGGGACGCGGCGGCCCCTCTCCTGCTTTGTGAAGCCGGGCTCCGCGGCTCCACCCCCCCTCCCCGGCCCTCTGATGTGCTCCGCAAACCGGCGGCCCCGGGGGAGCTGATGGAGGAGATTTCGGATGAGGCCTGACAGCTCCGAAGACAGCGCGACAGAGCGACGCAGCAGAGCTGGTGGGGAAAAGGTGCCCGGGCCGCGATGGGGGAAGGGCAGGGGCGCCAGGGTGGCAGGGCAGGGGGGGCCCAGAGCGTCAGCACAGAGGACAGGCCCCTGTGTTGCTGTGCCTGTCCCTTCATGGGAACCCCCACAAAGAACGGGGGGAGGGTCAAGAGCAAAACTGCTCCCAGGACACACGGGGAGAGAACAAAGCCTAAAAGCTTCCCAGCGCAAGTGAGAATTTAAAATAAAAATGCCAGCCAGGCACAGCGGCTCATGCCTGTAATCCCAGCACTTTGGAAGGCCCAGGGGGGACGACCGAGGGCAGTTTTAAGGCCAGGAGTTCGAGACTAGCCTGGGCAACATAGCCAGACCTCATTTCTACAAAAAAAAAAAAAAAGAAAAATTAGCCGGGCGTGCTGGCTCGAGTGTGGGTGGGAACCGTGACTTGTAACCGAAGGAACATGGCAGCGGGGACGGTGTCGCATCTACAGACCCTCGTCTCTGGCTGGATTTAGGAAACAAACCGCTGTGGGTTCAATATGCCCCCCAAAATTCACGTGTCGAAACTGAATTGCCATTATAACAGTATTAAAATGTGGGCCTTTTTTTTCTTTCTTTGAGACATGGTCTCGGTCTATCACCCAGGCTAGAGTGCAGTGGCGTCATCACAGCTCACTGCAGCCTCCAACTCCTGGGCTCAAGCGATCCTCCCGCCTCGGCCTCCCCAGTAGCTGGGACTACAGGTGCCACCACCATGCCTGGCCCAATATATTCCTTCAATAGAGCACTGGATTTGCTGACCACCACAGTTGCAGTGGGTTGAACGGCGGCCTCAAAAAAGATGTTTCCGTGTCCTAACAACCGGAACCTGTGAATGGGACCTTATTTGGAAAAAGGATCTTTGCAGATGGAATCAGGTTAAGCGTGTGGAGAGGAGGTCATCCTAGATTTAGGTGGGCCCTATATCCAATTCTAACTGTCCTTAGAAGACAGAAAGGAAAAACACAGAGGACAAGTGAGAAGGGGTGTCATGAGTCCGCAAGCCCAGCAACGCCAAGGGTTGCCGGGAAACCCCCGGGAGTCAGGAGAGAGGCCTGGAACATTCTCAGCCTCAGATGCACCCGGACCTGCTGAGGCCTTGACCTTGGACTTCCAGCCCGCAGAACCGCACAAGAATATTGCTTGTGGGTTATCCACCGTGCTAGGCGCACGGACCCGGACAGCACCCGGAACAGAAGGAACCGCCCCTGCGTGCTCGTGTGACGCGCCAGGAAGGACGCGACAGCACGCCCGCGCTGCTCCTGCCCACGACTCCTGAAGTCAGTGTGGTCGCGGGCGGGTGGGACGTCAGCCACAGCATTGGCCAAACTGAAGGGATGGGTCTACAGACGACCGTGCTGGGCTCTTGGCACGGGTCACTGAGACAGGAAGGTTGGAGGGACTTAGCTTTGGCTCGGGCATGGACAGAGTGCACAGGTTGAATTGTTGATGCATGCACCGGGATTTTATTTTATTTTTTTTGGGAGATAGTTCACTGTTTTGCCGGCTTAGGGTGAGTCGTCGGCGTCAGGCATAGCTCCAGGAACTCACACTCCTGGGCTCAAGCATCCTCCTGCTCAGGTCCGCCGAGTAGTGGGACTACAGGCATGCACACATGCCGGTAAATTTTTTCTATACTATGTTTAGGTTGGCCAATTAATTTCTATATTCTTTTGAGTAGGACGGCAGGGTCTTCACTCTTGCTCAGGCTGGTCTCAACGCCCTGACCTTGAGCAAATCGCCACTTCAGCTCCAGGATGTCGCATGGATTAAGGCGGGTTGAGGCCCCAAGTGCCTGGCCAGGTGGAAATTTTCTTTTTCTTTCTTTTGAGACAGTTTCGCTTTGCATTTCCAGGGGTTAGAGTGAACCAGTGCCGTTGCGCGTTCAGCCTAGCTCACAGCAACCTAAGACTCCTTGGGCTCAAGCGATCATGCTGGGCCTTCAGGGCCTCCCCGGAGTAGCTGGGACTACAGGCATTGAGGCCACATGCCGGGCTAATTTATTTGTATATATTTTTCTAGGTTGGCAATTAATTTCTTTCCAAGTTATAGGAGAGGACGGGGTCTCGCTCTTTGCTCAGGCTCGGTTTTCGAACTCCCTGAACTCGGAGCAATCCGCCCGCCTCGGCCTGCCAGAGAGCTAGGATTACAGGTGGAGCACTGCGGGCCCGGGCCAAAGGTGGGATTTCTTTGGCTATGAAAGAGCACGCTGGGAGCATCCGGTTAAAATCGGGTGGTGGGTGGTGCGTGTGACGTTCCCCGGCTGTCACTACAAACTACCTCTCACTGGGTGGCTCAGAACAACAGACATGAATCTCTGCCTGTGTCCTCACACGCTGGTTGACAGCTCTCCTCCACGTGTGCCTGTGTCCAGTGTCCGTCTCTAGGGACCCCAAACCAGTCGTGCTGGGTCAGGGCCCAGCCTAACACCCTCGACGCGATCACCTCTTTGAGGACCCGGTCTCCAAATACAGTCACTCTGCTCGACTTTTTTACTTTTGTCCTGTGTTGTTTTTCTTGTGTGTTTAGTTTCAACTCATCTGTGTGGTTTGATTTTGTACATCATGTTACGTTTTTGTGTAAATTTTCTTGTTTTAACAATTTTCCTATTGTTTTTTTGTCAGTGCCTGGTTTTTTATTTTAGGATCCACTTTGGCTCAGTTGCTTGTTGTTGTTAAGGATTCTGTGTTTGTTTTTGTTTGTGTTTGTAGGACTTTGTTTCACAATGGTACACACTTGTAATGTTCAACAGAGGCAAAAACAAAGGAAATGTGAGCGAAAGGTCTGTAGGAGAATTCTTTGAACTGTTCTTGGAACTTGTTGGTAAATCTGAAATGATGTTGAAATTAAAATAGAAACAGGTGTCAGAAGTGGGAGCTCAACCGCATTTCTGCCAAGTGTCCCGGAGCACGTGATAAACACGAGCTCCTCCCTTCCCTCCTCCCACTCCCTGCGAGGCCCTGGCCCAGGAGGGAGAACTTTCCAGCCGGAGATTCCCACCAAAGCCAGTGACCCGCGCTGAGTATGAACAGCCCAGCCCCCGCCCCTCCGATGGCAAATCGTAGCGTCTCAAACATGATGCATTTCCTTAGAGCCTGGGCTCCCCAGCGTGTTCTCCAGAAGCAGCTCTTCACGTTCATAAGGAAGCACCTGTGAGGTCTGTCCCGACACTGACACTGTGTGGGGACCAAGTCCCATGTCCCCAGCGGGGAGGGCCAACCTCTGGCACGAAGGAGGTGACAGCTCGCTGTGCTGCACAGGCCCAGCCCTTGCCTGCTGCGCTGGTGACAGGGATAAGTGTTTGTGGGATGACACCTGAATCGTGCTAGCAGGGCCTGCTCTGCCGATGCTAGCAGAGAGGAGCCCAGCCCATCGGACCGGGTTCCTTTTACTGGTTCTGGACAGTTCCATGGAGGGAAGGGATGGGACGGCTGGGGGTGGGCGCACCCACGTGCCTGAAACATGGCCGATGTGGCCAGCACCACCCCAGAGGGGACCTCGAAGTCACACTGGAAGGACAGAGATGCTCCGGGGGTGTCCCAGCCCACAGCCTGGGCCAGGTGGGGGAAGGTGCGGGGTCCCTGAGGTGCCACAGGTGGCTGGGGGCAGGAGGGGGCCGAGTCCCAGGCTGGAGCCCTCCCGGGAGGAGCCCAGCCCCACCGAGCTAGTGTTTATCCCTGTGGCTCTGGTCGGTCCAAGGCCACCAGCCCTGACCACCAGCAACTCCGGCTTCCGGCTCCGCTGCAGCTGGGGCTGTGACCCCTGACCTGGGGCGGGCCCTGGTGGGCTCAGTTGCTGCCGTTGCTGTCGTCACTGTCCAAGTACGCACCCAACTGGCTCAGGGAGGAGGCGGCAGGCAGCAGGGGCGCAGGGTCAGCCACCTTCCTGCCGTGCGGGGCGCCTGGGGGGAGAGGCCAGAGTCAGTTCCGGGCGACGGAGCCTGGGCCTGGCCGCTCCTGCTAACGTGCAGGCCCAGAGGTGACAGCACAGGAACGGCCTGGCCCCTCTGGACGGCGTCTGGCGGGACCCACTGACAGATCACAGAGAAGACACACACAAAAAAACTGTCCATTTGCAACGTGCATTTTTTAAATAAATATATTAACAAAAAAAGGAGTCTCACTCTGTTGTCCAGGCAGAGGCCGTGGCGCCAGCCTCAAAACAAACAAACAACAACCCACAACACCAGGGCTCAAGTGATCTCCTGTTCAGCCTCCCGAGGTAGCTGGGACTTACAGGCATGCGCCACCATGCCGGCTATTTTGCATATATATTAGTTGGCCATAATTTCTTTCTATTTTTAGTAGAGACGGGGTCTCAGCAACACACACAATAAACGAACTCCTGACCTTGAGCAATCGGCCCGCCTTGGCCTTCCAGGCAACTCCACTTCTGACAACCGATCTGTGGGAACCCCCTGGCGGGCAAAGCTGCGGAAAACGTGAACGACTCCAGGTCCCAAGTTGAACCGTGCATATGCATACAGTGATTAATAAGGGCAGATTCCAGGCCCACAACGCATCCCTGCTGTGTGGCTTTGGGCAAGTGGCCGTACCTCTCTGGGCCTTGGTCTCATCTGACAGGTCGGGCAATAACGGTGCGGCAGCCACCACCCGCGTGTATCTGAGGCTCCCCGTGCGCCAGGGCCTAGTGCGAGCACCCGGCAAGGAGGAGCCACGGAATGAACCAGAAACCCGGGCTCCGACCCCACCTGTGAGGTGGGTCCCGTCACTGCCCACATCTTACGGGACAGGAAACTGAGGCGGGTCGGGGTGGGAGGCCCCTCGACCAAGGCCAGGGAACGAGCAGGTGGAGCCGTGGAGGACCTGGTGACAGTGACCCCCTAAGGGACTTGACACTTGGGTTCCACACTCTGTGTGACTTGGGCTTTAAAACCCAGCCTGCACCTTTTGTAATTAGAAGGAAAAAAGAACCCACGTGCCTTCTGCCCTGATGCCACTAACTGGCCCTGGGGGGTCGGGTGGCCCCCACTGACACCACGAAGGCTCCAGGATGGCGTCGGGGGCGCTGTGCTCGTCTTTGGGGACCTGGGAACCTACCTGGGGCCGGTGCTGCCTGGCCCTGCCCAGCACTGCCGTCCGGGTCTGCCCTCGGCTTCTTCACCACGACCAGGCCGGACAGCGGGGCCCTGCCGAGGCTCCCCACGCTCTGCTCCCAGCTCTCCACACGCCTCTTGGCCTTCGGGGCCTGCGGGCGACAGGGGCACGTGTGGGGTGTCGGGCCCAGCCCCAGCCCCGTCGAGCCACCCCTGTCCCCGCTGAATCAGCTACCAGGGGGACCTTTACCACCCCCAACCCCTCATTTGCTTGGTGAACTCCTATTCATTCCTCAATGCCCAACTCAACACCCCCCCTCTCTGTGAACCTGTTCTCACAGTTTCAAGCTGATGGCCACACCTGTCACGGGCTCTGCTGCCTGTGAACTGTGTCCCCAACTGTGCTGCGCTCACCGCTGGCTCTGCAGTGCCACAAACAAAGCCCGCACACAGTAGGCGCTCAATCAATGTGTTTGAGCAAAAGAACAAAAAAGGAGGCACCTGTCCCAGGGGAAGGGTTAGGGTAGGCAGCCCCACTTCCAGCTCCTGTCACACGGAGGGGACCCTTCAGTCTATATTTTTGTTTAAGTACAAGAATCCAGAGCCCTGGGGTAGAGGGAGTCATGGCGGGTGCCTGCCGTCACCAGCCCACTGCGGGAAGGTCCCCTTAAAGAGAAGGCTCCTGGTAGCACGGCCACCAAGTCATCTCCTGACCTCCTCGACACCCTCGGTCCCCCTCGGGCCTTTGCCTCACTGTCCCCTCGGCCTGGAGCACCTTCCCTTGGATGTCTGCCTGTAAACTCCTCCCCTTCCTCGTCCCGATGTCCCTTAGCCTTCCGGAACGCCACCACGGAGCCCGAGACAGGCTGAGCGCTAAGAGTTATGTGGATTTGTTCCTGAACCTGCCTCTGCGTGTGGTGCTCGTCATCATTAAACTAAGCCAAGGAAACACAGGGGTGAGGAGATATGCTCCTTCCGGTAAAAGTTAAGGTAAGGCCGGGTGGCGGCTCCCACCTGTAATCCCAGCACTCTGGGAGGCTTAGGTGGGAAGATCGTTTGAGGCCAGACATTCAAGACCAGCCGGGGCAATATAGCAAGACCCCATCTCTATAAAAAATTATTTAAAAAATCAGATAGGCATGGTGGTGACACTGGCCACCCGCCCAAACCCCTCTTCCCTTCTGTCCAGGCAGAGGCCAGCTGGAGGACACGTCTCCCGCTTCCCTTGCAGCTAGATGTGGCCGTGTGACTAAGCTCTGGCCACTGGGATGCAAGAGGCGTGGGGGTGGGGCTCGTCTGAGGCTGGGCGATCCGTACACCCTTCACCTTCCCACAGCGGGAACCTGAGGGCGCTCTGAGCCAGCTGTGACCACACAGCAGGAACCGTGGCCCCGGGATCACACTGGAGCCTGAATCCCTGAGTGACTCTGTGGAGCACAGCTGCTTGGAAGTCACAGACTGTCCTGTGGGGACCACTATGTGACTGAGAAATAAGCTTTTATGTTCTTCATGTCCCCTTGTTTCTACACATAAACAGGGCGGGCAACCCACAGACCCACAGGCCTGTCACCTGCCTTTGTAAATAAAGTTTTATTGGCACACAGCCAATAAACACTGATTTACACACTGTTGACGGCTGCCTGTGGGCTACACGGGCAGAATGGAGCAGTTACGAGTCAGATTGCCAGGCCTTTTAATAAAAGGTCAATCCAACCCCTGGCTCCACCTGTCCCCGCGTAGCCTGAGAGCCCATGGTGACTCAGCAGCCCTGCTCACCTCGTCCAGGATGGCGGTGGGGTTGGGCCGAGGGGCCGGCTTGGGCGGGGCAGGAGCAGCATCCTCCTCCGAGTCGGAGTCCTCAAGCAATCGCCTCTTCCTAGCCTCCTCTAGCAGGGCCCTGCGGGACACACCATGGAAGCTTGGGATGTGCTCTGTGCGGGGGACGGTGCCCGGAGCCCCTGCCCAGGCGGCTGCGCAGTCCCGTCCTGCCCACAGTGAGCGGGTGGGAGGGAGTGGGGGTCGCCCAGATCACTTTTTAACCCTTTGCACTCGCTTGCTTTTTTTCTCAATTCGTTTATTCTACTTGGGATTTAATTTTTTAAATACCCCAGTTTTTTTTTTTTGAGACAGAGACTCACTTTGTTGCCCAGGCTAGAGTGAGTGCCTCAGTATCAGCCTGGCTCACAGCAACCTCAGACTCCTGGTCTCAAGCGATCCTGCTGCCTCAGCCTCCCGAGTAGCTGGGACTACAGGCATGCGCCACCATGTCTGGCTAATTTTTTCTATATATATTAGTTGGCCAATTAATTTCTTTTCTATTTATAGTAGAGACGGGGTCTCACTCTTGCTCAGGGTGGTTTCGAACTCCTGACCTCGAGCAATCCGCCCGCCTGGCCTCCCAGAGTGCTAGGACTACAGGCGTGAGCCACCGCGCCCGGCCAATACCCCAGATTTTACAAAGCGTGGCAGTAGAATAAAAACTGGAATTTCTTTTCATACAAACTTATTTGGATTTTTTTTATATCTCAAATTATTGAAACATTCAAAGAGTAATTTTAATCTCTATAATTTTTCATGGTGTGATATTTTTTGAAACATTCACCCACATGAAGACCTGGTTTACATTCACGTTTCGCAGATATAAATCGTCTCTCTTCTTCCTCCTTTGATTTTTCGGTTAGAACACACAACACAATCTTTGTGTTTTTTGTTAGGGTGAGGTGTGATTATATGGAGCTTTCCATCTAAACGTTGCTCTAAGTCAGTGGATAATAATCTACCCCTGGAAGTTAGTGTCCCGTCTGTGAATTCTCCAACAAGATCGTGTACTAGTTTCCTAATAAATTTCACATGCGTTATCGGTTTTTCATTTTTTCTTTTTTGGCATTCTTTGTACAATATATAGGAATTTACAACACTGACGTCAAGCCCCCAGAAAAACAATGTACGCCACCATTTTAGAGTCTTCCTCATAAAACAGTATGTGCTTGTGTAGCGATCAGCTATCTCAACACCGCCCATAAACTTCGTATAGTTGGTCACGACCCTGGGTTTGAGAACCGTTTCCTTCCCGCCACCACGCACTGTCCTTTCCACAGACTCAGTCTCTGAAGTGTCCCATGTGCTGAGCATTGTCACTAACCTCTTGTCCTTCCACGCAAGAAGCGTCACGTTTTCATCCCTGAAGGCCACCATCTCTCCTTTCTTTAGCTTTGGATGTTTGATAACAGGTGGATTATCTTTCCTATTGGGCATTAGCGCCCCTGTCAAGTGTGTTTTTTCCTTGAACAGCTCCCTTGCAAGAGTGACACTAGTGTAATACCTGTCAGTGAAGAAATGGTAGCCTTGAGAACCAGGTACTGAGTTCTTCAATCTTTCATGAAGCTCTAAAACGATTCTGCTAGTAAAAGGGAGATCGGGTCTCACCAATGTCTCAGATGTTATTCCTCCGTAATAAGGGACAAATGAATGTACGTAACCACAGTTTGAATCTGAGAGGACATATAAACGAACACCCGTTTTGTTGGCTTTTTAGGATTATACGTGATGAAGCGTATCTTTCCCTTGAAACCAACAGCAGCCTCGTGGGCAGCCATCTCTCTTCCGGGACAGAATCTGTCCCTAAATTTCATTTCAAGGTATGACAAGAAGCAGTTTACCTTCTCGGTTCTTGTTCTCAAATCTTCACTTGACTTTTGATCGTTTTTCAAGTGTAACATACAAAAAATTTGCAAGAACCTTTCTCTTTTGAAAACAGATCGAAAAAATGGTGTATGAGACTCAAAATCCATGGACCAATAACTCTGTAAGTTGGGGTGATTCAATACACCCATATTTAGTATTACACCAAGAAAAGCCTTCATTTCCTCTATTGTCACATCTTTCCAAGTATTCCCAGTGGATCGCTGGGATAGTTCTTTCTGGCTAATTTTATGCCTAGCATACTCATTTGTCTCATCCGTTAAATTTTTTATCAACGTCTCAGTAAAAAACAACTGAAAAAAGTCTACTGGCGTGGCACAGCCAGGAGGAACTTGAGGTCCAACATGTAACTGACCAGTGGAGAAAGGGACTCTGCTAGGCTCTTTGTCATTCGAAGATGTAGATGTCCACTTTGCTTTTTCCTGTTTTCCCCTAGAAACGTGACTTGCACTGGGTCTTACACCCGATTTCTCAATGATATCACCTAAATCTCCGTCACTCTCACTCCAATAAACGATTGTGCGTCTTCGTTTTGCCTTCATGAATTCAATGTCCCTGTCACTGTCAGGACGTTCAGCCAGATCTATGGGCAAAGCAAGGGACGTTTTCCTTTCTGTAGTTCCACTGGGACCAGCGATTTGGTCATCATCTCCACTCGCATCCTCGGAGAACTCACTCTCGTCACTATTCCATTTTTCACTTCGTTCTTCGCTTTCGAAGTAAAATTCATCATGGCTGCTTTCTATGTCTTTGGAAAACTTATCCATCCTGAGGAGGGGAAATTCACTCAGAACGGGCGACCGCTAGGGGGCAAACCAATCATCCAACTAAACCCGTGTCAAGACAACATCTGTATGCTAATAGAAACCTAAACAAACCCAGGAGACGAAAAGATAAGGTTCTTCACCAAGGGAAGATGATGCAAGCTCAAAAAGGCATGATGCAGCGACACAGGCCTTGGACCCTCCTACTCAAGACTGCTGCCGATGCAGAAGATAGGCTTAGGTGGGGGCACCAGTTGAGACGGCATTCACATTTTACTTGTCCTTTCATGCTAATGAAAACAAGAAAAGATACTGGGAAAATAGACAAATGCCCCTCCCCCGCCCCGCCCCCCGCGGTGAAACTACGTGTTGAGTGTGGCTCAACATACGAGCTGCTAACCGTGTTCACAGTCACATTTGACATCCGAGTGCAAAGGGTTAAAACTAACTTTTCTGACCGGGTGCGGTGGCTCATGCCTGTAATCCTAGCACTCTGGGAGGCTGAGGTGAGAGGATCACTCAAGGTCGGGAGTTCGAGGACAGCCTGAGCAAGAGTGAGACCCCCATCTCTACTAAAAAAAGAAAGAAAGAAATTGGCTGGACAACTAAAAATATATAGAAAAAATTAGCCGGGCATGGTGACGCATGCCTGTAGTCCCAGCTACTCGGGAGGCTGAGGCAGGAGGATCGCCTGAGCCCAGGAGTTTGAGGTTGCTGTGAGCTAGGCTGATGCCACGGCACTCACTCTAGCCTGGGCAACAGAGTGAGACTCTGTCTCAAAAAACAAAACAAAATAAAACAAAAACTAACTTTTCTGTGTCCGCTGGGGACAGTGGTTCAGCACCTGGACCCGGCCCGTCTGTGTCTGAACTTCGGCTGGGTGACCTCCGCTGGGACAAGCCTGGAACTGACAGGAGGGGCTGCTGGGCCTAAACTGCACGGGCCAGGCTGGGGGCACGTGACCAGCCCCGTGGAAACCTGGGGTCTCTGTGGGCTTCCCACGGCATCAAGGCTCACCGCTGGGGTGGAGTGCGTCCTGCGTGACCCCACGGGGAGAATGTTCTGGAAGCTGGGCCGGGCCCCCCTGATGCACCCCACACGCTTGTCCCCTTCGCTATCTCTGCCGTGTCCTTTTGGCCACGAGGACGACCATGTGCTGAGTCACTGCGGCTGGGGTGGCCTCGGGGACCCACCATGACACAAGCAGGGCGGGTGTGGAAAAGGTCTCCCCAAGGTGACACGCGAGGGGCCATGGAAAGATCCGGAAGGGGGCCGTTCTGGGCAGAGGCCGCGCGGTGGCCTTGACTCACTCGGTCTCGCGCTCGTCCTCCTCCTGCTCCTGCTTCTGCCGCTCCTCCTCGGACAGGCGGTGCTGCCGCAGCATGGCCTCGAAGTCCACGTGGGCCTGGCGCTGGTTCAGGTCCTTGAGCTCCTGCAGGTTCTCCAGCACCTCCATCTCCAGCTTCGAGTCCTTCGTGCGGTTCTCCAGCACCTGCGGCGCGGCGGGCGCAGCTGAGCGTGGGCGCCGCACCTGGCCCGCCCGGGGTCACGCAGGGAGGACCCCATCCGGGCGCCTCATCCTGCTCAGGGACGTCCCGCCTGGTACCCTCACTGGGCCGGTGGCACAGGGCGGGGGAGCCGGGATTCAAGCCCATGGTGAGCGGGGCAGGGCGGGAAGAGTGTGGCTGTGGGCTGGGGGGCTGCATGGCGGCCGGCTCCGCCATGAAAAACACCAAGGAAGGGTTGTAAGAGACAACCTGGGCGCCACCGCAGGCCGGCCCTGGCCTAAGACGTTTCCAAACATAACTCATTTAGTCCCCACAGCAACGCCCATTCCACAGAAAAGAAAACTGAGGCTGGGAGCGGTGGGGCTGGCTACCCCAGGTCTCCAAGAGGTGGCACTGGAGCAGGTGGAACTGGGTGTGAACGCCATGGGGGTGGTGTGACTGTTGTGCTCACACTTTTTATTTTTGAGACAGAGTTTCACTCTGTTTCCTGGCCTAGAGTGCCGTGGCATCAGCCTAGCTCACAGCAACCTCAGACTCCTGGGCTCAAGCGATCCTCCTGCCTCAGCCTCCCGAGTAGCTGGGACTACAGGCATGCGCCACCATGCCCGGCTAATTTTTTTTTATATATATATTTTTAGTTGGCCAATTAATTTCTTTCTATTTTTAGTAGAGACAGGGTCTCGCTCTTGCTCAGGCTGGTCTCGAACTCCTGACCTCAAGCGATCTGCCAGCCTCGGCCTCCCTCAGTGCTAGGATTACAGGTGTGAGCCACCGCGCCCGGCCTGTACTCACACTTTTGAAAACGGCAACGCTGGTGGTTTTAAAGTATGTCTGCAGATTCTCTGATGCTCCTCCGTTTAAAAGGCAGAGCCCCAATCCCCTCCCTTTCAGTGTGGACTGCACAGGGCGCCGCACTCCAACAGAGCAGGACAGAAGGAACGGCTTGTCCCTTTTGAGACCAGGACATAAAAGGACGCGGCAGCTTCCTCCTGGCTGTCTCTGGGGTCCTGTGCTCTGGGGGAAGCCGGCGGCCATGTTGTGAGGAGGCCCAAGCAGCACCGTGGAGGCGTCCACGAGGTGAGGCTCTGAGGCTGCCTGCCCACAGCCACGTGAGGATCCAGCGTGGAAGCCGCTCCTCCAGCCCCAGCTGACAGCTTGACGGCAGCCTCCTGAGAGACCCCGATCTAGAACTATCCAGCTAAGCCACCCCTAGATTTGCTAAATTTTGGGATAACTTGTTACGTAGCAATAGCTGACTCATACCAGGGTAACAGCACCTTGCTGTCAGTGTAGGGGTAACTGAAGTCACACACGGACAGCACCGGGGCAGCTCCGGCACACAGCAAACCCTGGACAAGGCCCACCTCCCTCCCCACTGCTCTGCCTGGCTGTTGGAACAGTTGGAGCCGCTCTGATGTGGCTTGTTCAGAAAACTCAGTGTGGCAGAGGTTGGGGAGGGTCCAGAAATAGATGGGGAACGTGGGAGAGGACAGGAAGGAACACACTCATTTCGATATTTCTATGAAAAATAACAAAGCCATCCAATGGAAGGTGAAAATGATTTCTTTTTGAAGAATAACAAACCGGTGTGGAATTTACAGAGCACTGGCTGCGCCAGGCCCTGCTCTCCGGGCTTTATCATTTGATCGTCACCACCATCACACGAGGAGGGCTCGGCCGTCAAGCCCATTTCGCAGATGAGGACGCTGAGGCCCGGCAAGGCCGGGTGGCTTACCCAAGCTCACAGAGCTGGGAAAGGCTCAGAACTTTTCCTTCTACCCACCCCGCCTTAATTCGCACTGGCCCCCTGCGTTGTGGGACCCTGTCTAAGCCAATTGTGCGCCACCAACTGCAGGACACCCCTTCTGCTCTGAAGACCCACTTCCTGCCTCCCTGTATCAGGTTTCTCCTGCTACGCAGAAATCTGCCACAAACTCGGAGGCTTAAAACATCGCACATCCATGGCCTCACGGCTTCGGTGGGTCGGGAGTCTGGCGCAGCACAGCGGGGCTCTCTGGCGGGGTCTCGCCAGGCTGACAAAAGCTCCGGGAGACCACCTGCTGCTGCCTGCCACGTGGCGCCTTCCGCAATGTTGCTCCTTCAAATCTGGGCCTTCCTCTGTCTCTGGGCCCACACTGAAGGGCCCAGGCGACAGCTCGAGCCCAGGTAGACAATCTCCTTTGCTGAGGTTGGCAACGGCGCCGTCACGATAACGTAATCCCGGGAGTGGAACCCTCCCAACTCAGTCCTGGGGACGGTGCCAGCTGCGAGCACCAGGAGGCAGGGCCCTGGGGGACGTCCTGGAGTTTTACCAACCAGGCCCACGGACCTGAGACGGAAGGGCACTAATATGGCCAGCACCCACATGCACACACACACCCCCACAGGGCACCGGCTCACCTTCATGGGGTTGTTGAGCTCCTCGTCCTCCCTCTCCTTCTGCACCCTCTTCTCCTCCTCCTCCAGGAGCTTCTCGGCCTGGAAGTTCCGCGTGGCCCCGTGCTCCATGGTGTAGTCAGTGTTTTCCGGGTCTGTCTGCGAGGGAGGAGGGGGAGACATCAGTTCCTATGTCCCTGGGCACCGGAAGTTGCTGCTGCAGCATGGCCAGCCACAAAGGGCCCCTTCCTTTTGTTTCTCACTCCTTCTACCTTTTCTTTCTTTTTTCTTGTCTTATTGCTTTGGCAGGTGAGGTCCTCCCTTCCTAGCGTTCCTATGTCCTTCTGCAGAGAAGCCTGACTCCTCAGCATGGGCTTTGAGCCTCTTCCCCACCTGTCCACTGACTCCCTGCACCCTCCACTCCAGACCCTCAGCACGGGCGCAACGAGAGTCTTCAGGCCTTTGCACACGTCATTTCTGCCCTTTTCTCGTGTGTGTGCTTAGGGACATCTTTTCCTTGATTATAAACTACGTACACAAGCATGTACAGAGCATGCGCCTATTGTTTTTTTGTTTTTGTTTTTTTTGAGACAGAATCTCACTCTCTTGCCCTGGACTAGAGTGCCGCGGCGTCAGCCTAGCTCACAGCAACCTCAGACTCTTGGGCTCAAGAAACCTCCTGCCTCAGCCTCCCGAGTAGCTGGGACTACAGACATGTGCCACCATGCCCGGCTAATTGTTTTCCAATTTTAGTTGTTTGGCTAATTTCTTTCTATTTTTAGTAGAGATGGTGTCTTGTTCTTGCTCAGGCTGGTTTCGAACTCCTGAGCTCAAGCAATCCTCTCGCCTTGGTCACTCAGAGTGCTAAGATTACAGGCGTGAGCCACCGCGCCCGGCCATGAATCGTACACTTTAAAAGGCTGATTTGTCTGGTATGTAAATTACATCTCGGCAAATCTATTACTAAAAAGCAAATAATATGTATAAATTTTAAATGTACCTTTTTGTTCATTTCAATCAAATCTTATGTTTCCATCAAAGTTAAAAAGCTCACGGCAGAAAGAAAAATACTAAAACCCTACATCAGTACAGGAAGCGAAAATTTTAAGTTGTCCTCAAATCCTTAGGGTAACGATTAGAGGTAGAACCGTAATTTTTATTGGCTACGTAACATCCCATTGTACAGTAATTAGCTCTTCCAATCCCCTATCATAGCGTATCTCGGTTGCTTCTAGCTTCTTGCCCTTATCGTATATAAAGCTGCCATGATCATGTTCCCCAATCACAGTTTGTTTCCTGGGGATAAACTGGGAGGGGCTTTGAGCAGGTATCCCCCAGGGCCCTTCCTGTCCAAGGGTGGCCAGGGGAGGAAGGACCGGTCCGGCCGGCCACCTACCTTGAACGTGATCTCGGCCAGGCAGCGGGTGCACTTGATGTAAAAGCGGAAGATGGGCAGGCCCAGGTAGACCTCGTTCTGCACCGTCTCCTTCCGCGCGTTGAACTTCTTCCCCTTGTAGATGTACTCCCCGCACGTCTTGCACCTGGGGGCAGGATGGAGAGACTGGGCACTGGGTACTCTGGGTCCCACTGGTAGGATGATGTAGTATCCTGTGTGATCACTGCTTGTTTGCTTCCGGCAATGTGGAGCTCCCTCCCTCATGAAGCTGCCTGTCCCGCCGTGTGCACGGATCCCCTCCACCTGGCGGGCCCTTCTCCTCATCCATGTCCTCCTGGGTCTCGGCCCACGTGTTGGCCAGATAGGCGAGGCCCGCCTGTCACACACTCCCAGAGGCAATCCGGCTGCTGGCGGGGCATCCTGGCCTCCAGGAGGCGAGAATCCTCCCTCGTTCTCTGCTGCTCAGGCCCTGCGCCCCCAGCCCAAGCACTCCCGCCTCCTGGCCACGCCTGCGGACGCCTCCAGCTCGCTCCTACCCCAGGGCCTTTGCTCTGCGGTTCCCCCAGCCCGAGACACCTTCGTTCCTCAGACGCCAGCTCCTCACACGTCTGTCTGATGCTTCCCTGACACCCCAGCTACAGACTCACCTCCCTCCTCTGCCACCAACCCACAGACTCTCCGGCCTGTCTGCCCCACGCACACCTTGTGTGAACCGGCCTGAGCTCTCATCATCTCCACTCCCCATCAGACCGTGGGCTGCATGAATGGCACACAGCAGGTGCCCAATAAATGAGTGCAAAAAGAATAAATGAATGAATGAAGGGGAGAGAGAGAGAAAACAGGTCAACAACATGGACCAAATTGCATTGGCTAAAAAGTGCCTTTCATCAAAAGGCGTGTGAGATTTCAGAAATGCCAAAATGTGGAAAGTTGTGGGGTTCAGACTTGGTTGAGTACAGTAATCCCAAAGTAACACAAAGGACCAGATCTGGGTACTGCGAGGGGGACAATGAAGGCCTCCCAAAAGGTCTGAAATTGGAGCCAAGACCTGGAGGGCGAGGGGGAGCCGTGTGAGAGCAGAGGGAGATGGGTTCCAACAGCGGCAACAGCATGTGCAAAGGCCCTGAGGTAGGAATAAGCAGGCTGTCGGAGGAGGTGACGTGGACACGGCCCCATCTCTGTGCTCACACTTCACTAACCATCAAGACCTCGAGGCAGGCCCTGGCTGGGGGCTCTGCGATGTCGGGGGGCTAATCCTGAGTAGTGAGGAGATTGAGGCGTGGAGAGGTCAGCGTCTGAGCCAGGAACCGTGACCCAGTCTGACCACTGGGGACAGGCTGCCTCTGTGGACACCAGGCACTGGGTCCCTCAGTCACGGCCAGCGTGGGGGGCCTTGCGGAGGGTGCTCACCTCATGTTGAAAGGCGCCATCAACCGCACCACGTACTGCCGGTCTTTGGGGAGCTTGAGTTTGGGGATCTTTGACGGGTCGAAGTCGGGCGGGTAGTATTTCTGAGGGGAGGAAGGAAGCGTCAGGTGGGGCTGTTATTGGAAGCAGGGGCCAGCCACGGGCAGAGGGGAGGAGGGACTCTGGGAAGCCGTGTTGGGAGGTCCCTAAGACCACCCCAGGTTCACTGATTTGCAGGGAGGACTCAGCATGGACACCGTCATGGCCACAAGGGTATTTAATCCCCCCAAAAACAAGCCATGACAACAAGCATGACGCGCTGTCTACAACGGAACCTCACAGAGACCCCAGGTTGTTGTCAGGGCAGCTCACACAGGCCCTCTGCTGGCAGGTGCCAAGATTCCAGACTCCCAGAAACAGAGCTGGGGTTCAGCATAAACCATACTATTGGCACAGCTTAAGCACCGACAGCCATTCTCATGGGGGAACGGTGGGAACCACCCTGAAATTCAGGTTGCCAGTTGCCAGCCGAGGGCAAAACCTGGCAAGCCGGTCTTTCTTAGCAGAGCAGTTACTCAGGCTGATGGAGTCATTAGTAACTCTAAGAGTCACAGCAAGGCAAGAGCAAGTTTGGGTGATGAAAAATAACTTTCACTGGAAACCCAAAAAAGAAAGCACTTTGTGTTCTGAGCACCTATTAGGCGCCAAACACTACACAGAGCCCTTTATCTCCCTGGGCTCAAGGACTCCTTGCTCAAAGCCCCAGAAGACAGCAATGTACCCATTACAGAGGGGGAAACTGAGTCCTATGGGTTTCAGAGACTCAGGTTTCAGACCCAGGGACATGACTCTGGGTGAAATGGTGTGTTCTGGTGATTAGGAGCACGGGCTAACAGAGTCCGGGTTTTCCCTTAACACAGTTGGCAGCAGGAGCTGAGACACCTGGGGGGACCGCGAGTCCCAAACTCCCGCAAGAGAAGCGCTTGGCCAAGGAACGTGATTGGCTAGAGACTCCCTGCGGGGCGGAGCTTAACAGAGTCCCACCCCAGAAGGGGATGGTGCACAACACGAAGGCCACTATTTTAAGAAAGCCCCGCCTCCAAGGAAAGTGATTGGACCATTCTCTTCAGAAAAGCCAATCAGGTGAAGGGACCGGACAAACATTCCAAGCTCCGTCCCCCTAGGTGGCTGGGTACGACCCAGCCAGGAAGGGAAGTTTGGGCGAAGGCCCGCCCCCCAAGGAAGGCGATTGGGAGGGGTTTGGGAAGCCCCGTCCCCGCGGAAGGCCGTTGAGGAAGATGTAAAAGAATCCGAGTGGATTCCAGGAGACCCCCCACTCCCGGAGTTCCCGGACATCCCGATCCGGTTAAAAAGATCTAGTCGCCGAACACTTACGTTTAATACTTTTCGCTCCGACATCCTTGCCTCCTAATCGCCTCACAAGCAACGGAGAACTGGGTAGTCTCGGTAATTATCAAGCTTCTCCGAGAAAAATCCCTACTTCCGTTAACGTCACTTCCTTCAGCCTTTATTATTGGCCACAGCCTATACAGCTTCCATTTTTCATTGGCTGCAATCCCCGCCTATTAAGCTGCGAGTCCTTCCGTCTTTTCTCCTGCGGTGCAACCTCGGTAGCGCGAGATAAAGGTTCCGGGTTTGGAGGTGGCCTTATGGCTTTGAAGAAGTTCTGAAGAGGTGCTGCGCCCCCTGGAAGTCGGCAGCGGCTCCTTAAAATGTTGTGGCATGACGTGGCTTCTGGTCGTGTCACTCCTTGTTGTTTGTTATTTCATTCAGCAAATATGTGTGAAGCGCCTGCGCTGAGTGCTGGGCTCTGGGAACTCGCACATCCTTCCTGTGCCTTCAGCCCTCACAGGGGGTCTGGGGGCTACACATGTGGCCACATAAAAGCACCTTGGACGCCCCATCACGTGTTTATATTGAGTCACGGACATCACCTTAAAGATCAGGCTCCAAATCCACCTCCCAAACACACAGTATATCCCAAATGTCCCTCCATTGCCCACCACTGTCTTCCCTCTAAAGAGGACTGTCCCATCCCGTACCTTCCCCAGCCCCCTCCCCTATCATGAATGCTTTGCTCTATGTCAGATATCTTGCTCAGTGTGAACGGAAAAGAACTCAAACTCTGTGAAATAATTTAAAGAGATTTATTCTGAGCAGAATATGTGCAATCATGGCCCAGAGAGCCACACCTAAGAAGGCTTGAGCTTCCCACCATGGTTGGATTACAGTTTGGTTTTATGTATTTTAGGGAGACAGGAATTACACTGAAAAATCATAATACATGGAAGGCATACTTTGGTTTGGTTGGAAAAGGTAGGCCATTCTGAATTAAGGGGCTTTTGGGTTATAGGTGGGTTTAAAGATTATGTGATTTGTAATTGGTTAAAGAAATGAAGCTTTGTCTAAAGGCTCGGGATGTTTTAAGTTAAGATAAGGAAACCTGTTAATCAGAGAGAAGCCACCAGACATGTATTGAGACTCAAGAGATCTGTTAAGTAAATTGATGACCTGTCCATGTGGTTTAACCTTTCTCTCTCTCTCTTTTTTTTTTTTTTTGAGACAGAGTCTCGCTTTGTTGCCCAGGCTAGAGTGAGTGCCGTGGCGTCAGCCCGCTCACAGCAACCTCAAACTCCTGGCCTCAAGCAATCCTGCTGCCTCAGCCTCCCGAGTAGCTGGGACTACAGGCATGCGCCACCACGTCCGGGTCAATTTTTTCTATATATATTAGTTGGCCAATTAATTTCTTGCTATTTATAGTAGAGACGGGGTCTCGCTCTTGCTCAGGCTGGTTTCGAACTCCTGACCTCGAGCAATCCGCCCACCTTGGCCTCCCAGAGAGCTAGGATTACAGGCGTGAGCCACTGCACCGGCCTAACCTTTCTCTTAACAGGTCTGACCTTCCTTAACCTCATGACTGGTGACTCAGCTGTAAGGTTTTTCTAGGGTTCCATTAACCAAGAGAGGGTCCATCCACTCTGTCTGCTGGGGGTCTTAAGATTTTTTATTTTAGTTCACATCAGTAGCGGGAGGACACATAAGAAAACAAGACATAAGATTTCTACTCTCACAAAGATCATTGTCTGGTGGGACAGACAGTAAGCAAACAAAAAGAACCATTTTGGGGCATGGTAAATAATCTGAAGATTATAGTATAGGACAATGTATGGTGCTACATAAAAGGTACACAGGAGGCCATTGGTTTTGACAGAGATCCTGCACATGCCCAAAAGACCAGACCAAAATGACACCAAGCTAAAACTGTATCATAGCCGGGCGCGGTGGCTCACGCCTGTAATCCTAGCACTCTGGGAGGCCGAGGCTAGCGGATTGCTCAAGGTCAGGAGTTCAAAGCCAGCCTGAGCAGACCCCGTCTCTACCATAAAAAAAATAGAAAGAAATTAATTGGCCAACTAATATATAATATATATATATATATATATATAATATACTACTATATATGTCGCCGGCATGGTGGCTCGTGCCTGTAGTCCCAGCTACTCGGGAGGCTAAGGCAGGAGGATCGCTTGAGCCCAGGAGTTTGAGGTTGCTGTGAGTGAGGCTGACGCCACGGCACTCACTCTAGCCTGGGCAACAAAGCGAGACTCTGTCTCAAAAAAAAAAACAAAAAACTGTATCATTTATCTGACTTTCTCATAAATCAGGAGAGACACAGAGAGAGAGAGAGAATATGAATGAATCACCAAATTCCCAAACAGGCCAGTTTTAGCTAACATAAGGAAGCCCCACCCCACGTTAACTTTTACCAAAAAAGTAATTTTTGAAGTGACCAATCGCTTTTTGGTTTCTGTTTCTTCTTTCCTCATCCCTTTTCTGTCTAAAAACTAGCCTCCTCTGCTCCGCTCATGGGAACACTCATTATATTTCACGGAATGAGTTGTTAGCCGATTCTAGAACAGAATCACAAAGAAAAGCTAATTAAGACTTTTAACACACTGACTGCCATGTGAGTTGTATTTAAGTCAGGCTAGTTTTGAGCCTCATGATGCAAAACCCTGCAGCTGGTGTGTGAACATCTTACTTGATGTTCTTATTGTTACAATTAATGTTGACAATTTAATTCCAAAAACGTGGTTTGCATATAACTCATGCACAGAAAGCAACAAAAAAACAACAAATTAGAAAGGATTGTTTGTTTAAATAAAACACTGTGGCTCCAGGGGGGAAACATGTTTCTTCTAGTGTTGCAGTCAATGTTAAACTAAATCTGCTGTGGTTTTGTCTTTTGATCTGGAGCTGATGGGAAGCAGCAACTTTAGGTGGTGTATGAGGCTCCTATAGCTGCTGTAACAAATGAACAAAAACTCAGTGTTTTAAAGCAACGCACATTTATTATAACTTTAAGGGTCAGAAATCAAAAATGAGTGGGCAGGGCTGGCTGGTTCCTGCTGGAAGCTCTAAAGGGAGACTCCGGTTCCCTCATTTTTTTTTTTTTTTTGAGAGTGCCGTGGCGTCAGCCTAGCTCACAGCAACCTCAAACTCCTGGGCTCAAGCGATCCTCCTGCCTCAGCCTCCCAAGTAGCTGGGACTTCAGGCATGTGCCACCATGCCGCGCTAATTTTTCTATATATTTTAGGTGTCCAGCTAATTTTTTTTCTATTTTTTGGTAGAGATGGGGGTCTCATTCTTGCTCAGGCTGGTTTTGAACTCCTGAACTAGAGCAATCCTCCCGCCTCGGGCTCCCAGAGTGCTAGGATTACAGGCGTGAGCCACCGCGCCCGGCCAACAATGAGTCTTTTCTAATTAAAATTCCAAGATTCTTTTCTTAAATAAAAAATATCTCACATCCACAGTTCAAGGGGAGAGCACATTCCCATTTTACAGATTGGGAAACTGAGGCTCAGAGGGGGCAAAGTCAGTTGCCTGAGGTTGCCCAGCAGCTTGGCGGCAGCAAAGCCAGGACTCCAACCCTGGCCAGGTGGGTCCCATCCACCCTCAAATGGCTGGCATCGGGGTTGGGGGGTGTCAGGGACCCGGCCCCTCTTTAGGGACACTGGAACCCCCCACTAATGGCGCGGCATCACGAGAGTGGTTGCAGGGAGGCTCCAGTCGCTCGACTCCCCGTAGTCAGTGAGGTCCTCCGCAGCCACCTGCACGCAGTACCTGGCCCGCGGCCGCACAGCCCTGAGGGTGAAGGAGGTGGCTTCAATGGGCCCCACCTGAGTGCACAGAGAGAGTCGGGTCACTAGCGTGAGATTGGGACGCGCCACAGTGCGCAGGACCACACAGCTCTGGATTTCACTGTGTGGCCCCCAAACCCCCTCCTTCAGGAATCCTCCCTGAGCCCCACTAGCCCCTGTGTGTGTGCCCATCCACCAGGATGCCCCATCCTTCCCAACAATGCTCCTCCTCCAGGGCCCAAACCGGGACCTCTGGGCTGGGATTCGAAGCCTCTCTTCCCCCTGGCCCCGCCGTTTTAATCATAGTTGTTTGTTTGTTTGTTTTATTGAGACAGGGTCTCACTCTGACCCTCTGCCTCCACCTTATAAGGCTAAATTTTCAATTTTTTGTAGAGATGGGGTCTCACTATGTGGCCCAGGCTGGTCTCAAACTCCTGGGCTCAAGCGATCCTCCTGCCTCTGCCTCCCAAACTGCTAGGATTACAGATGTGAGCCACCGCGCCCGGCCTGTCTATCTGTTTGTTGGTGGCCATTTGGGTCGTGTCCACTTGTTGGCCACTGTGAGTCATGGTCCTGTGGACACGGGTGTGAAAATATCTCTTTGCGTCCCTGCTGTCCCTTCTTTTGGGCAGATGCCCAGGAGCGGAATTGTTGGGCCGCCTTTATGTCACACACCGGGAATCCCAAGCCCCAAGCGAGGTCCCAGCACACGCGCCGGCCTTTGCACGAGCCGGCTGTCCACTGTGCCCGGTGCGCCCGCCCCGGCCCCCTCACCTGACGGAAGCGGGCGGCCCCGTGCCGCTTGTAGCGGATCCGGTATTTGAGCGAGAAGATCTCCGGGAAGGGCCAGGACCGGGGGGGCTCCCACCGCACCCCCAGCTGCTGCCCAGGCAGGGGGCTCAGGCGCACGCCTTCCGGAGGGTCAGGCTTGACTGCAGGACAAGCAGGAAACAGGCTCAGGGGATGGCAGGTTCATTCATTCATTCATTCATTCACCCAAAAAAGATTTATTCACAGTCCACTACACGCTGGGTGCTGTCCCAGACAGACAGGACGCAGCAGGACGTAGGGCCATCCCCTCCCGTCCTCGTGGAGTTCACGATCCCGCACGGAGAGGGCAGGGAACATTGACCCATGACAATGGGCCATCCCAGAGGAGGGAAGACAGGGAAGGAGTGTGAGGCTGGGAGTGACTTGCAGTGTTCTTTGGAGACATAATTCACGAATCATAAAACTCACCATTTGAAAGTACACAATTATTCTATGGCATTTTGCACACTCGCAAAGTTGCACGGCCACCACGACTGAGGAATTCCAGAACATTCCATCACCTCAAAAATTAACCCCGTCCCCACCAGCAGTCACTCCCCAGCCCCCGGCACCCACCAACCCACGTCCGTCCCTGTGGCTCTGCCTGTCCTGGGCGTTTCATGTAAACGGAGTCACACACTGTGTGTCCTTCCGTGTCTGGCGTCTCTCACTGAGCACGACGTCCTCAAGGTCCCTCCACCCCGCGGCCTGTGTCAGAGCCTCGTCCCTTCTCAGGGCCAAGTGATGTGCACGTGGTGTTGTGTTGATCCATCACCCATTGACGGCCACTTGGGGGGTCCCCACCTCTTGGCTGTTGTAAGCAGCGCTGCTGTGGACCTGGGCGCGCAGGCTTTGTGTGGCCGTGCGTCTTCATTTCTCCTGTGCGCGCGCCCACAAGTGGCATGGCTGGGTTACATGGTGACTCCACGCTAAACTTGTGGAGGGACTGCCAGACTGTTTCACTAACCCCCAGCGACACATGAGGGTTTGCCATTTTTAATAATGTTCTTAGAGAGGCCTCACTGAGGAGGTGACACCTGGGCAGAGACCTAAAGGAGGTGAAGGAAGAAGTGGGGACATCTGCGGGAAGTGTGTTATAGGCAGAGGGAACAGCCCGTGCAAAGGCCCTGGGGCAGGACAGCACCTGGCGTGTTGGAGGCACAGCGAGGGGGCCCGTGTGCTGGAGCAGAGGGAGGAAGGGGAGACAAGGAGGAGGGAAGGGCGGGGAGGGAATGGGGCAGGTTGTGAAGGGTTGTATGTGAGCTGAAGGGAGGAATTGGGCTTTGACCCTGAGGAAGGTGGGAGCCATGGAGGGCTGTGGGCAGAGGAGGTTAGGGCCTGACTCAGGTGCTCACTGGCGCCCTCTGGTGGCTGCCGCAGGAGAACAGACCGTGGGGGCAAGGGCGGGAGGACCAGCGGGGAGGGCCCTGGGCTGGCCCTACAGAGGCAGAGGAGCGGGAAGAAGGTGTCACATGTTTGACACACGGCAAAGGTGGCACCGCAGGACTGGGCGGCACGTGGCAGGTGGGGGCTGGTGACAACGGAGAAAGGGGAACAGCAGGAAGCAGCCGGCCGCCCCCCGCCCGCCGTCCCCACTCACTGACGTGCTCGGCCACGAAGGGCAGGAAGCTGCTGCTGGCGCCCCGAGGGTGGACGGCCGTGACGTTGAGCACATAGGGCACCCTGGAGAACAGCTGGACGTCCGGGATGGCGCAGCTGGTGGCCTCGGGTGTGGGCTGGAGGCAGGGCCGGCTCTCGCCCTGCGCGGCCACGCCGAGCCTGGACAGGGGCACACACTGAGGACCGTGGGAGCGCCTGTGGCCCCAGCAGCTCCTGTCCCGGGACCCCAGTGGCAGGCGGGCAGAGGGCAGCAGGCCGGAGGGCGTCCTGCCGCTGCAGCTGTGCCGGCCAGCATCATGACGCCCTCAGTAGCCCAGCGTCAGGGCCACAGACCACAGCGAGGGGCTGGGGGCCCTGACCCTAACGGGCCGGGACACCAACGTTCCCACGCTGGAATCCCGACAGCCCAGCGCCCCGGCTGCCCACGCAGACCCAGAACCCGCCCGCCGCGTTCTCTCCCCGTCTTAGACCCCACGACGATGTCACACCCCGCGGCCTCGAGACTCTAGCCCAGCACCGTCCCACAGAATGTCCCAAAAGCTCCTCAACGTTCTGTGTTCAGTGTGGTCCCCTGTAGCAGCCACAAGGCACGTGTCACTCCTGGGAAACCGGGCAGCCCACTGCCTGGGACTTTCTGGTTTATCTGATCTAAATGTATAAAGGAAACTGAAAGTTTTCTGGATCAGAGAACGAGGGAAGGCCGGGCACGGTGGCTCAGGCCTAGTGGTGCAGGGCTGGCTGGTTCCTGCTGGAAGCTCTAAAGGGAGACTCCGGTTCCCTCATTTTTTTTTTTTTTTTGAGAGTGCGTGGCGTCAGCCTAGCTCACAGCAACCTCAAACTCCTGGGCTCAAGCGATCTCCTGCCTCACGCCTCCCGAATAGCTGGGACTTCAGGCATGTGCCACCATGCCCGGCTAATTTTTCTAATAATTTTTAGGTGTCCAGCTAATTTCTTTCTATTTTTTGGTAGAGATGGGGGTCTCATTCTTGCTCAGGCTGGTTTGAACTCCTGAACTAGAGCAATCCTCCCGCCTCGGGCTCCCAGAGTGCTAGGATTACAGGCGTGAGCCACCGCGCCGCGGCAACAATGAGTCTTTTCTAATTAAAATTCCAAGATTCTTTTCTTAAATAAAAAATATCTCACATCCACAGTTCAAGGGAGAGCACATTCCCATTTTACAGATTGGGAAACTGAGGCTCAGAGGGGGCAAAGTCAGTTGCCTGAGTTGCCCAGCAGCTTGGCGGCAGCAAAGCCAGGACTCCAACCCTGGCCAGGTGGGTCCCATCCACCCTCAAATGGCTGGCATCGGGGTTGGGGGGTGTCAGGGACCCGGCCCTCTTTAGGGACACTGGAACCCCCCACTAATGGCGCGGCATCACGAGAGTGGTTGCAGGGAGGCTCCAGTCGCTCGACTCCCCGTAGTCAGTGAGGTCCTCCGCAGCCACCTGCACGCAGTACCTGGCCCGCGGCCGCACAGCCTGAGGGTGAAGGAGGTGGCTTCAATGGGCCCACCTGAGTGCACGAGAGAGTCGGGTCACTAGCGTGAGATTGGGACGCGCCACAGTGCGCAGGACCACACAGCTCTGGATTTCACTGTGTGGCCCCAAACCCCCTCCTTCAGGAATCCTCCCTGACCCCACTAGCCCCTGTGTGTGTCCCCACCAGGAGCCCCATCCTTCCCAACAATGCTCCTCCTCCAGGGCCCAAACCGGGACCTCTGGGCTGGGATTCGAAGCCTCTCTTCCCCTGGCCCGCCGTTTTAATCATAGTGTTTGTTTGTTTGTTTTATTGAGACAGGGTCTCACTCTGACCCTCTGCCTCCACCTTATAAGGCTAAATTTTCAATTTTTGTAGAGATGGGGTCTCACTATGTGGCCCAGGCGGTCTCAAACTCCTGGGCTCAAGCGATCCTCCTGCCTCTGCCTCCCCAAACTGCTAGGATTACAGATGTGAGCCACCGCGCCCGGCCTGTCTATCTGTTTGTTGGTGGCCATTGGGTCGTGTCCACTTGTTGGCCACTGTGAGTCATGGTCCTGTAGACACAGGTGTGAAAATATCTCTTTGCGTCCCTGCTGTCCCTTCCAATCCCAGGAGCGGAATTGTTGGGGGCAGAGAGAGAGAGAATATGAATGAATCACCAAATTCCCAAACAGGCCAGTTTTAGCTAACATAAGGAAGCCCCCCACCCACGTTAACTTTTACCAAAAAAAGTAATTTTGAAGTGACCAATCGCTTTTTGGTTTCTGTTTCTTCTTTCCTCATCCCTTTTCTGTCTAAAAACTAGCCTCCTCTGCTCCGCTCATGGGAACACTCATTATATTTCACGGAATGAGTTGTTAGCCGATTCTAGAACAGAATCACAAAGAAAAGCTAATTAAGACTTTTAACACACTGACTGCCATGTGAGTTGTATTTAAGTCAGGCTAGTTTTGAGCCTCATGATGCAAAACCCTGCAGCTGGTGTGTGAACATCTTACTTGATGTTCTTATTGTTACAATTAATGTTGACAATTTAATTCCAAAAACGTGGTTTGCATATAACTCATGCACAGAAAGCAACAAAAAAACAACAAATTAGAAAGGATTGTTTTGTTTAAATAAAACACTGTGGCTCCAGGGGGGAAACATGTTTCTTTCTAGTGTTGCAGTCAATGTTAAACTAAATCTGCTGTGGTTTTGTCTTTTGATCGTGGAGCTGATGGGAAGCAGCAACTTTAGGTGGTGTATGAGGCTCCTATAGCTGCTGTAACAAATGAACAAAAACTCAGTGTTTTAAAGCAACGCACATTTATTATAACTTTAAGGGTCAGAAATCAAAAATGAGTGGGCAGGGCTGGCTGGTTCCTGCTGGAAGCTCTAAAGGGAGACTCCGGTTCCCTCATTTTTTTTTTTTTTTTTTTTGAGAGTGCGGTGGCGTCAGCCTAGCTCACAGCAACCTCAAACTCCTGGGCTCAGCATTCCCTGCCTCAGCCTCCGAAAAGCTGGGACTTCAGGCATGTGCCACCATGCCCGGCTAATTTTTTCTATATATTTTTAGGTGTCCAGCTAATTTCTTTCTATTTTTTGGTAGAGATGGGGGTCTCATTCTTGCTCAGGCTGGTTTTGAACTCCTGAACTAGAGCAATCCTCCCGCCTCGGGCTCCCAGAGTGCTAGGATTACAGGCGTGAGCCACCGCGCCGGCCAACAATGAGTCTTTTCTAATTAAAATTCCAAGATTCTTTTCTTAAATAAAAATATTCACATCCACAGTTCAAGGGAGAGCACATTCCCATTTTACAGATTGGGAAACTGAGGCTCAGAGGGGGCAAAGTCAGTTGCCTGAGGTTGCCCAGCAGCTTGGCGGCAGCAAAGCCAGGACTCCAACCCCGGCCAGGTGGGTCCCATCCACCCTCAAGGCTGGCATCGGGGTTGGGGGTGTCAGGGACCCGCCCTCTTTAGGGACACTGGAACCCCCCACTAATGGCGCGGCATCACGAGAGTGGTTGCAGGGAGGCTCCAGTCGCTCGACTCCCGTAGTCAGTGAGGTCCTCCGCAGCCACCTGCACGCAGTACCTGGCCCGCGGCCGCACAGCCTGAGGGTGAAGGAGTGGCTTCAATGGGCCCCACCTGAGTGCAGAGAGAGTCGGGTCACTAGCGTGAGATTGGGACGCGCCACAGTGCGCAGGACCACACAGCTCTGGATTTCACTGTGTGGCCCCAAACCCCCTCCTTCAGGAATCCTCCCTGAACCCCACTAGCCTGTGTGTGTCGCCCATCCACCAGGACGCCCCATCCTTCCCAACAATGCTCCTCCTCCAGGGCCAAACGGGACCTCTGGGCTGGGATTCGAAGCCTCTCTTCCCCCTGGCCCCGCGTTTTAATCATAGTTGTTTGTTTGTTTGTTTTATTGAGACAGGGTCTCACTCTGACCCTCTGCCTCCACCTTATAAGGCTAAATTTTCAATTTTTTGTAGGACGGGTCTCACTAATGTGGTCCCAGCTGTCTCAAACCCTGGCAAACGATCCCTCCGCCTCTGCCTCCCAAACTGCTAGATTCAGATGTAGCCACCGCGCGGCCTTCATCGTGGTTGGCCATTGGTCTTCCACTTTGCCACGTGAGCATGGTCCCCTGTAAACAGTGAAAAAATCTCTTGGCCCTGCGTCCCTTCCAATCCCAGGACGGAATTGTTTGGCCGCCTTTATTCACACACCGGGGAACCCAAGCCTTCGCGAGTCCCACACGCCCGCCTTGCCGGCCCTGACGCAAGCGGCGCCCGTGCCGCTTGTACGACCTGTAATTGACGAGAAGATCTCCGGAAGGCCAGGACCGGGGGGCTCCCACCGCACCCCCGCTGCTGCCCGGCCATGGCCTCAGTGCGCACGCCTTCCGAGGTCAGCTGGACGCAGACAAGCAAGGAAACAGGTCATGTCGGCAGTTCTTCATTCATCATTCATTCACCCAAAAAATTATTCACAGTCCACTACACCTGGTCGTCCACAGACAGACGCAGCAGATAGCCATCCCTCCGGCCTCCGTGGGTCATCGACCCCCGCAGAGAGCAGGGGACATGACATGACATGGCCATCCCAGAGAGGAAACAGGGAAGATGTGAGCTGGAGTGAAACCTGCAAGTTTGTTCTTTTGAGACATAACCACGATCATAAAAACTTCACCATTTAAAGTACACAATGATTCTATGCATTTTGCACACTCACACAACAAGTGACCGGCCACCGACTGAGATTCCCATAACATTCCATCACCTCAAATAATTAACCCCATCCCCACCAGCTATCACTCCCAGCCCCTGCACCACCAACCCAGTCCGCTCGTCTGTGGCCTCTGCCTGTCCTGGCGTTTCATGTCTAAGACGGAGTCACACACGTGTGTCCTTCCGTGTCTCCGTCTCTCCACTGAGCACCGACGCTCACGGTCCCTCCCCCGTGGCTTGTCAAGAGCCCCGTCCTTCCAGGCCAAGTGATGTGCACGTGGTGTTGTTTGATCCATCACCACGTACTGGACCACTTGGGGGTCCCCACCTCTTGCCGTTTAAGCAGCGCTGCTTGTGACCTGCGCGCAGGCTTTGTGGGCCGTGGCGTCTTCATTTCTCCTGTGCGCGCGCCCACAAGTGGCATGGCGGGTTAATGGTGACCTCACGCTAACTTTGAGGGACTGGCCACCTGTTTCACTAACCCCAGGACACATAGGTTGCAATTTTTAATAAGTTCTTAGAGAGGCCCACTGAGAGTGACACCTGGGCAGAGACCAAAGAGGAAGGAAGAAGGGGGACATCTCGGAATGGTTTAAGGCAGGAACAGCCCGTGCGAAAGGCCCTGGGGCAAGACAGCACCTGCGGTGTTGGAGGCACAGCGAGGGCCGTGTGCTGGACAGAGGAGAAGGGAGACGAGAGCGAGGGAAGCGGGAGGAATGGGTAGTGTGTGAAGGTTGAATTACTCGAAGGGGGAATGGCTTTGACCCTGAGGAAGGTGGAGCCATGAGGGCTGTGGCAGAGGAGTAGGGCCGACTCAGGTTCACTGGCGCCCTCTGGTGGCTGCCCAGGAGAACAAACCGGTGGGCAGGCGGCGGACCAGCGAGGAGCCCTGGCTGCCTACAGAGGCAAGAGAGCAGAAGAAGGCTTTGTGTTTGACACAGCGGCAAAGTGGCACGCAGGACGGCCAGTGGCAGGCGGGCTGTGACAACGGAGAAGGGAAACAGGAAGCACCGCGCGCCCCCGCCCGTCCCCACTCACTGACTGCTCGCCACGAGGGCAGGAACGCTGCTGGCGCCCCGAGGTGACGGCCCGTGCTTAGACACATAGGGCACGAGAACAGCTGGACTCCGGGATGCGCACTGGTGCTCGGTAGTCTGAGGCAGCGGGCCAGGCCCGCCCTGCCCGCGGCCGCCAGCCTGGACAGGCCACACTGAGACCTGTGAGAGCGCCTGTGGCCCCAGCAGCTCTGTCCCGGGACCCCCATGCAGGCGGGCAGAGCACAGGCCGAGGGCGCCTGCCGCTGCACTGTGCCGGCCACATCATGACCCCTCAGAGCCCAGCGTCAGGCCAAGACCACAGCGAGGGAGGGCCCTCGACGGCCTAGGGCCGAAAAAAAAACACCAACTTCCCCACCTTGGATCCCGACACCCAGCGCACCGGCTCCCCACCAGACCCAGCAACCCGCCCGCCGCGTTCTCTCCCGTCTAAGACCCACGACGATGTCACACCCCGCGCCTCGAGACTCACTAGCCCAGCACCGTCCACAGAATGTCCAAAAGCTCCTCAACGATCTGTGTCAGTGTGTCCCCTGTAGCAGACCACAAGGCACGTGTCACTCCTGGGAAACGGCAGCCCACTGCCTGGACTTTCGTTATCTATCTAAAGTATAAAGAAACTGAAAGTTTTCTGATCAAGAACGAGGAAGGCCGCACGTGGCCTAGCCATGTTAACCTCTAGCACTCTGGAGCCGAGGCGGGGACTGCTCCGAGGTCAGGAGTTCGAGACCGCCTGACAAGAGCGAACCCCGGTTCTACTAAAAATAGAAGAAATAATGGCCACACTAATTATCATAAGAAAAATAGCCAGCCATGGTGGCCAATCCGTAGTCCAGCTACTCGAGGAGGCTGAGACAGTAGGATCGCACTGACCCAGGAGATTGAGTTGCTGTGGACCTAGGCGACAGCACACGCCCACTCACCCTGAAAACAAAGTAACCTCTGCAAAAAAAAAAAATAATATATATTAATAATAATATCACATACATAACAATTAAAATATACAGCAATAAACATGAATATAATACATTAAATATTTAAATGAAGCATTTTTTGAGACAGAGTCCTCGCTTTGTGTCAGGCTACCGTGAGTCAGCCTAGTTGGGCCAATTAATTCTTTCTATTTAATAGAAGACGGGGTCCGCTCTTGCTCCAGCTGTTTCGAACCCTGAACCTGCGCATCCACCGCCTGCTCCCAGAGTGCTAGATTCAGGCGGGAGCCCACAAGCCCGCGATACATATTTAGAATGAGTTAAAAATACATTAAATAAATTCACCATCTTGTGTCGCTTTCTCGTGGCTACGGGGAAGTTTCACCCTCACATGTGGTCTGCAGTATGTGTGTGACGTGCACTGTGTCATTCTCAGAGGTAGGTTTCTATTGGACAGGCTGTTCTAGAATCTCAAAGGTTTGGGGGTCGGGATGTCTGGGTCTGCAGGTCTCCTGACCCAAGGGGCTTTCGGGCCAGAGTTCTGGACTTTCCGGGAAGCCCAGCGTCCCCACGTTCCCTCCCGGGCCCTCTGACCTGTAGGTGGCAATGAAGGGCACGGGCCTGGTGGCGTTGGGGGCTGGCCGCAGGGTCCAGGAGCAGTCCACCGCCAGCGGGTATCGGGGGGCCCGGCACTGCACCCTGGGCAGGGTGGGAGCGGCTGGGGGTCCCCCGGGGAAGAGAGAGGGGAGCGTGAGCTTCCGATTCACGCCCAGATCGCCACAGCCCTACCCCAGATCGGCCCTGCCAGGTCCCCAGCCGGCGCCGGGCACGGCGGGCACCTGGGGAAGGTGCGTGGATGAGAGGCACCAGCCTCCTCTCTCGCCCCCACAACAAGGTGGGAACTATTGAGCCCATTTTCCAGACGGGGAAATTGAGGTTTAAGGAGCCACAAAGGGGAAGTTGGGTAGGAAGGAGAGGGTTACCCATCCCTTCCTTGTAACAATTTTGTCAGGAAGTATATGGAAAAGTTCTCCATTCCAAAATGAATGAATTAACGTGGCTCAAACTTTTCTTTTTTTTGAGACAGAGTCTGTTGTCCAGGATAGAGTGCCATGGCGGCATCAGCCTAGCTCACAGCAACCTCAAACTCCTGGGCTCAAGCGATCCTCCTGCCTCAGCCTCCCGAGTAGCTGGGACTGCAGGCACGTGCCACCATGCCTGGCTGATTTTTTCTATTAGTAGTTTTAGTTGTCTAGCTAATTTCTTTCTATTTTTAGTAGAGACTGAGTCTCGCTCTTGCTCAGGCTGGTCTCGAACTCCTGAGTTCAAATGATCCGCCCGCCTCAGCCCCCCACAGTGCTGGGGCTACAGGCGTGAGCCACCGCGCCCAGCCCAAGCTCTTATCTGTATCTACAGAGGTTTGTAGATCGCTCCAGGCTGTGGCTGCCACTTCCTGGCGCTCGTCTTGGGGAGGTGTTCTTCCTCCCTGTGCCTCAGTTTCCCCATCTGTACAATGGGAGGGTAACCCCGTCCCCCCAGTGGGCACACAGGAAATGTGTGATTCCCACCCCAGCCTAGAATGATCCCAGGCGGAAGGTCAAATTCCTGCCCCCTAATCCCGTCCCTCCATCGGGGCAGCCCCAAGCCCCACCACCCGGGGTCCCACGTACCTTCCCTTCCACGGCAGGGCGGGCAGCTGGCCCAGAGGGCGAGGGCCAGGAGAAGCCCCGGGGTCATGGCTGTGGCCGGCTGGGCTTCCAGGAGCTGGGGTGGGGACAGTGCTTGGAGACTGAGGCAGGAGGCGGGGACTTGGGGCCCGCCCAGGGGGAAGCCCAGCCTGGATCCAGGCCCCCACTTCCCCTCGGGTCCTGGCACGAGAGGTGAGCAAGGCGGCAGCCCCCGGCCCTGCCCCGGCCACCTCTGCGCGGAAGGGAAGGTCGGAAGGTCTCGGGTGGGGGCGGGGAGAGGAGGCCGGGAAAGGGAGAAGTGGGGGCCGCTGGCCTTTCCCAGCACGTGGGTCTGCAGCCCTTCCTTCCTTCCGCTGCAGCGTGGGGGAAACCCGGAACCCCGGCAGGGTGACAGGGACACAGGACAAGACAGAGGCTGAGACAGAGACAGAGACAGAGACAGGGACCCAGCGACGCCGGGCGCAGGCTGGGGGGAGACTCACTGGCTACCAACCGTGCACTGCCACAGGGGGACCCAGGACGCAGCAGCCACCGCGGGAAACCCGGACTCCAGGGACCGCTGGCTCCTGCTGGGCGCAGCGCCTGCCCTGACACCCAAGGAAAGCCCCGGGGACAGACGGGGATCCCCGGCCACACTCCCGTGTCCCTCCAGGAACTGGAAAGCTCCCAGAAGCCTGTGGGGATTTCGGGGGGACTCCCCAAGCATGGGGGGGAGGGGCTGGGGGCTCCGCCAGGGCCAGGCTTGGGGTTCGGAGGGGAATCAGGCGGTGCGGGTGCCAGCTCAGATCTCCTCGTTCTTTTAACATTTGGGTATTTTGTTTGTCATGGACGTTATTTTGCACCCATTTGGTTTTTTTTAAAGTAAGGCGTTCAGATGGGATTTGTCCCCGCGACTGAGTCCCGGCTGGGGGCGTGGGGGGCGAGCGCTCCCTGCCGGGGGCCACCCCTCCCGCCCTCGCAGCAGGAGCCCAGCAATCAGGCGACCACGCATCTGTCCTGTGCACGGTATGCCTTTATTCCTGGTGGCGTCTGGTGACGGGTGTTGGGGGCGGAGGGACTCACAGGTTCTCCGGTCGTTGGGGAGGGACAGTCAGGCCCCGGGCGCGGTGTGCAGGGACAGGGTGGGGCAGCCGGAAGGGACCCAGGCTGGTCTGGGAGTGCACAAGCCGGACACCCACGGGGCCAGGGGACGCTGGTCCGAGAGGGGCCTGCAGGGGCTGGGCCCCGCGAGGGGTAGCCCGGGCGGCCGCCGGCCCGCTCAGCGGCCCTGAGCCTGCAGCCGCTGCATCTGCACGATCTGGCTGAGGATCTGCTGCACGTCCTCGTCCATCTGGCCCTGGGGCGCAGCGGCAGAGAGAGACCCTGGGGCACCTGCCCCGCTGCCCCGTCGGCCCCACCCAACTCCCACGGACCAAGGCAGCCACGAGGGAAACGCACACAGACCGGCTCCAGGAGGACCGACAGGGGAAACTGAGGCCCCCAGAGCAGTCGTGGCGTGCCCAAAGCCTGGTAGGCACGCAGACACAGACCTGGGAGCCGGTGACTCACCTGGATGGCGTAGAGGAGGTGGCTCCTGTACAAAGCCACCACGGCGCTGTGGTCCCTGGCAGACTCCTGGGGCAATGGGGGAAGGGCACTTAGAAAAGCAAGACCACCCCACCCCCAAACTCACCAAAATGCCCCCTTCACACCCAAGCCTGTTTTTTATTTTTATTTTTTGAGGCAGGGTCTGGCTCTGTCACCGGGCTGGAGTGCAGTGGCATCACTGTAGCTCACTGCAGCCTCCAACTCCTGGGCTCAAGTGATCCTCCTGCCTCAGCCTCCAGAGTAGCTGGGACTACAGGTGCCATCACGACAACTGTATAATTTTTGTATTTTTTGTAGAGATGGGCTGTCGCTATGTGGCTCAGGCTGGTCTCAAACTCTTGGCCTTAAGCGATCCTCCCACCTCAGCCTCCCAAAGTGCCAGGATTACAGGCCTGAGCCACTGCGCCTGGCCTGGGGCCTGCGTTTTGATGGCATGCACCTGGCTGACAGCCAATTGCTAAAGTATGGGAATATTTTCTGGCCATGCCTTGAATGTGTACCCCCCGCCGCCGCACACACATCCTGCCCGCCCCAGTCCCTCTCCTGGGCTCCCCGCCCTGTGCCGTGCTGGTTGGCAAAGATTTCGACACCCCCGTCCTGATGCTGCCTGTCCCCTGTCCCCTGTCCCTAGCTCACCTGCAATTGCTGCTGTAAGGCCTTCACCTGGTCCCGCAGGGCCTCCACCTCGGGGGCGACCGGGGCGGCCGTCTGCTCCTTCAGGGCCTCCTTAAGACTGAAGACTTCTTTGGAGAGTTCTGTGATCTGGGGGTGGGGACACAGTCAGAGACCAGTCTGGGCCCAGCGCTGGGGCCTGGGGACCTCCCCAGGGCGGCCCAGGGGTTAGCAAACTCCGGCCCGAGGGCCACATCTGGCCCGCACCCTGTTCTCCCACAGCGTCCCCAGCTAAGGATGGTCTCCACATTTTTAAATAGTTGTGTGTGTGGGGGGGGGCAGGGGCAATGTCAAAAGAAGAAATGGATTTTGTGGTGCGTGAAAATTACATCCAATTCACATTTCTGTGTTTATAAATAAAGTTTTATTGACACACAGCCATGTCTATTCGTTTGCACGCTGTCTTGTGGCTGCTTTCACGCCACCGAGGCAGAGTGGGATAGTCGCGCCAGAGACCAGCTGCCGCGTGGAGCAGAAAACCTCGACTCTCTGGCCCTTTACAGAAAGTGACCCTGCCACACCCCCTCTTGGGGGTCTCCCACCTGTCGGTGGAGGCTGTGGGGATGGCAGGGCTAGAATCCGCCTGGCCGGTCAGGCTGAGGTTGACACCCAGGGTTTGGGTCCCTGCTTTACTCCTCTGTCAAGGGTGACTGTGGGAGGATGATCGTTAAACCCCTCTGAGCCTCAGTTTCCTCATCAGTAAAATGGAGAGAATCACGATTCTTGCTTTAGTGGGTTGCTGGGATCCTGCACTAAGATTGAGTTTAGACTGTGTGGCAAACAGTAGGCACTTAATAAATGCTGGATCTTTTTATTACTATAGATCAGAGGTTCTCGACCACCAGGGGACACTGGGTGATTTCTGGGGACATCTGTAGTTGTCACACAGGGGGTGCTCCTGGCATGGGGCAGGTGGAGGCAGGGACACTGCAGTGCCCAGCACGGCCCCTCCCCAGAGAGAGATCCGGCCCCAGTGTCCACAGTGCGGAGGGGAGGCAGCAGCTATACATAAACCCTAATCCTAAAGCCCATTTTGCCCTCATGTTACAAAGGAGGGCTCTGAGGCTCAGAGAGGCGGAGTGACTTCTCCAAAGTCACACAGCAAGTTGTGGCTGGGCGGTTCTTTATGCTGAAGTGCCTGGGGCTCTGGGGGGCACATCTCCTGTCCAGGGACATGCTGCGTGACTTTAAGCCACTCACTTCACCTCTTGAAACCTTAGTTTGCTCATCTTGCAAATGGAGATAAAAATGTTTTCCAGCTTTTAGAGTTGGGGGAGATTAAAAGTGATAACGAATGAAAAATACTCGACCCAACAACTGGAGGCTGCAGGTATCATCAACATTGTCGTTGTCATTATCATTATTTAAGAACAGAACTTGAGGATGTGGGTCCGAACCCTGGCTGAACTATTGCAAGGCTGTGTGACCTTGGGCAAATGGCTTCACCTCTCTGTGCCTAAGTTTCCTCAAATGGAGACGATAAAAGCACCTGTCTTATGGGAACTCGATGTGAGGTTTAAATGCCTTAAGTCAGTGTTTTTTTTGTATTTTTTTTTTTTTTGAGACAGAGTCTCACTTTGTTGCCCGTGCTAGAGTGAGTGCCGTGGCGTCAGCCTAGCTCACAGCAACCTCAAACTCCTGGGCTCAAGTGATCCTCCTGCCTCAGCCTCCCGAGTAGCTGGGACTACAGGCATGCGCCACCATGCCCGGCTAATTTTTTCTATATATATTAGTTGGCCAATTAATTTCTTTCTATTTATAGTAGAGACGGGGTCTCGCTCTTGCTCAGGCTGGTTTCGAACTCCTGACCTCGAGCAATCCTCCCGCCTAGGCCTCCCAGAGTGCCAGGATTCCAGGCGTGAGCCGCCACGCCCGGCCTTAAGTCGGTGTTAAACACCCGTGTGTCAGACTGTTCGGAGGCCACAGCCGAGTCCCCTTCCGACTCTGTGCCTCAGTGTCCCATCTGGAAAATGGGCTGATTTTCCCCAGACCCTACCAGCCAGGACATTCTTAGAATCCCTCAAACCTCTGCTGAGCGGGGGCCCCCCCAGACTGGGCGAGGGAGAGGGGGCGCCCACCTTCTTGTCCTTCTCCTTGGCCTTGTCCAGGGCCTCCTGGGCGCGGCTCTGGGCCTGGCGAGCCCGCTCCACCTCCGTGCGCAGCCCGCGCAGCTGCTGCTCCGCCGTGGCCAGCTGCGCTTCCGCCGCGTGCCGCTCGCTCTTCATGAACAGCGCCTCCCGCTGCACCTGCGGGCCAAGCCCACGTGTGACCCTCAGGCACTCGGGCCCCAGGGACCCCCGGGTTCTTCTGACCCTGCGACTTTGGCCTGAGGACATTGCAGCCCACGTCGACCCCCTTGGCCCCCGTGAACATTCGGACCCTGCCACGCACTCCCGGCCTTCTAGCTGTGTGGCCTTAGACAAGTGACTTGACCTCTCTGTGCCTCCGTTCCCTTATATGCGAAACAAGAAGAGCAGCCCCACTTCACAAGGATAAAATGATCAAAGGCGGAGAATGTCCTTAGAACAGTGCGGGGCACGCGGTAAATGTTACACTTGAGTTGGCGCTATGGTTACTACGCAGGCGTGCCTCATTTCGTTTCGCTTTGCAGATCCTGCATTTTGTGCAAACCGAAGGTTTGTGGCAGCCCCACATCGGGGAAGTCTATTATCACAGTCATTTTTCCAACACCATGTGCTCACTCTGCCAGCACTTTTTAGCAATCAGGCACTTATAAATTAAAGTATATACTTTTTTTTTAAAGATATAATGCTATTGCACACTTAATAGATCATGGTATACTGCAAACATAATTTTCAGATGAACTGGGAAACCAAAAAATTCGTGTGACTCACTTTATTGTGATATGTGCTTTGTTGTAGTGGTCTAGACCTAAGCCTGCAATACCCCCCGGGGTGTGTTTGTGATGACTTAGTATTGTCAGCAATGTTCTCGTCTCTGCCCGTGGTGTGAAGGTTTGCAGATCTTGTACAACACAAAAGAAAAAGTTGATGACTATGTTTTCACGAAAATACCAAGACTGGAGGAAAGTTTATTTGTGAAATTTGAGAGTTGGGGGGGATTGGCTTTGCTATGATAGCTCCAGGGAAAACAGATAACAACTAGATCTTCCAGTTAGAAAGGATTGGCTACATAGTAATAATTTTTTAAAAAATCAGATATGTAAAATTTACTCTTCAAAGAAGTTATCGTGGTTAGCGAAAAACATGAAGATGGGCACGATTCAGTCGAACTGGGAACTCTAGAAGCAGACTGAGGATTTAAGGGGCTTGAAAGAGTGTGTCTTGGCTTGGCACGGTGGCTCATGCCTGTAATCCTAACGTTCTGGGAGGCTGAGGCGGGAGGATCGCTTGAGGTCAGGAGTTTGAGACCAGCCTGAGCAAGAGCGAGACCCCATCTCCCCTAAAAATAGAAAAATTAGCCGGGCATGGTGGCGCATGCCTGTAGTCCCAGCTACTCAGGAGGCTGAGGCAGGAGGATCGTTTGAGCCCAGGAGTTGGAGGCTGCAGTGAGCTATGTTGATGCCACTGCACTCCAGCCTGGGCCACAGGGCAAGACCATGCCTCAAAAACAAACAAACAAAAAAGAGTGTCCTTGGAAACACAATAATTCTGCTATCATTTACTGATCACTTGTACCAGTCCCTGTCGTAAGAAGTCTATAGAAATAAACCCATTTAAACTTTACACGAGGAGCAGGAACTATTACCATCTCCCTTGTATAGATGAAGAAACAGTGACACACAAAAGAAAATTATTTCCTGACAACAATGAATGAACATAGTGTCTTATTCCCATATTTGTTAAACAGCTGCCGGTTTGCTTGTTTCTTGAGCAAAGAGATACAGACAAAATGTCTACCATCAGAGACAAAAAATATTCCCTGGATTAAAAAAAAACAACAAAACCCAAAAACCTCAGCATCAGCACTCACTAGGTTGAAAATAATGAGATAAAAAAAAAATCCCTGCTCATAACACCTTCCTTCCAGAATGGTCAAAAGGTCAAACATGATCATAAGAGCACTTTTAGGACAAGGTCAAAACACTCAGCTAGAAAACAAACAAACAAACAAACAAAAAACTGCAGGGTTAAAATGACCCCCAGAGAAAATGAACATTAGGTTAAATAGCAGGGCAAAACAAAACAAAATACCAGCCGGGCGCAGTGGCTCACGCCTGTAATCCTAGCACTCTTGGAGGCCGAGGCAGGCGACTGCTCGAGGGCAAGGAGTGTCGGAAACCAGCTGTAGTCCCAGCTACTCGGGAGGCTGAGGCAGGAGGATCGCTTGAGTCCAGGATATTGAGGTTGCTGTGAGCTAGGCTGACGCCACGGCACTCACTCTAGCCTAGGCAACAAAGCGAGACTCTGTCTCTAAACAAAACAAAACAAAATACCAATTCACTGCTCACAAAACGGTTGTGATCACTGAGCCCTACCTCACACCATAGACACACATGATAGAAGCACAGTGGACATCACTGTGAAACCAAAACAAGAAAGATGCTAGAAGAAAACCTAGAACACCTTCCCAATCTTGAGATACACAAAGGTTTTTATAAACAGATTCCAAAAAGAAGTTAGCCATTTAAAAAAATGATAGCGTCAAAATGGCCAAAGAGTGTTAAAAAAGCAGAAATGAAGTTGAAACGCCCAGGTCAGGACGACTGTGGGGTCAAATGTCCACCGGGAAACACTGGCAGAGCCAAACATCTGTTCAAATCAAACCGAGGGGGTCAAGACGCCCCACGGCGGCGGGGTCAAGACAGGCCACCGAGTGGCCCCTGGGCGCGCTCACCTGGAAGACCTCGGCGCTGGTCCTCTCGTGCCGCCGGCCCAGCTCCTCCAGCTGCGCCTCCAGCCGGGCCACCTCGGCCTGCAGCGCGCCCACCGTCCGCTCGTGCTCCGAGAGGGCCACGCTGCACGCACGCTCGCGCTCCAGCTCCGCCCGCAGCCGGGCGGCCTCCTTGCCCGTGGCCACCACCTCCTGCTCCAGACCGGCCGCCCGGCCCCGCAGCTCCAGGGCCTCCTCCTGCAGCCGCAGGTGCTCGGAGGCGGGCACGGCGGACTGGCGCAGGGCCTCCGAGGCCTCCCGCAGCTCCGCCAGCCCCCGCCGGGCCTCCTCGCAGGCGGCGGCCAGCTCCGCCACCTGGGCCTCGGCCGCGTCCCTGGCACAGCCCAGCTCGGCGGCCGCGGCCCGCTGCTGCTCCCCCGCGGCCGTGGCCGCCGCCAGCTGCTCCCGCAGGGCCTCCAGCTCCCGGCTGTGCTCCAGCCGCGCCTCGTCCCGCCGGGCCAGCTCCGCCCGCAGGCCCCGGGCCTCCTCCTCGGCCAGCAGCTGGCCGGCCCGGGCCTCGTCCAGCCAGGCCGTGGCCGCCTCCAGCTCCCGCAGGCGGGAGTCCCGGGCCCGCAGGTCCTCCCGGGCCTGCTCCAGGGCCGCCCTCAGCTGGGCTGTGTCGCTGCCGGCGCTGCCGCCGCCGGCCCCGCAGCCCTCGGCCTCACGCACCCGCTCCCGCAGCCGGCCGGCCTCGGCCTCCGCAGCCTGGCACTTCCCACGGGCTGCCTCCAGCTCCATGGCCGCCTCTCGCTCCCGCTGCCGCAGCGCCTCCTCTAGGCCGCGGATCCTGGTCTCCAGCTCTGCTTGCAGCTTTTCCGAGGCCTCAGCGGCACCGGGGTGCAGGGCAGGGCCGGCGGGGACTCCCGGGGCTGTGGCCTCTGCTCCCGTGGCCCCCGCATCTGTGGCCTCTGCTCCCGTGGCCCCTGCATTCGTGGCCTCTGCTCCTGTGGCCTCCGCATCTGTGGCCTCTACTCCAGTGGCCTCCATGTTTGTGGTCTCTGTGCCTGCGAGCTCTGCCTCCCCAGGGCCCGCTCCGTTGCTCTGCACTGCTGGTTTTGCATCCGTGGCCTCCACTCCCGTGGCATCTGAACCAGTGGCCTCAGCTCCCGTGGTCTCGGTTTCAGCGTTTTCTCCCCCTTCCACAGCCTTCGTTTTCATGCCCGCAGCCGCCATGGCTTCGGTTTCTGTGGCCTCGGTTCCCGTGGACGCAGCGTCCAAAGCCCTGGCGTCTGTGGTTCCAGCTCCCGTGGCGTCCTCGTCTGCGGTCTCGGTGCCATTCACTTTGGTTCCTGGAGCGGCAGCGCCATTGAGCCCCAAGTCTGTCAGCCCATTTTCCGTGGCCTTGGTCCCTGCAACCTGGCCCTCCCTGCAAGCCGCCTCCTCGTGCCCCAAGGCCTCCTGTGCCTGCAGCTGCCTCAGCGCGCACAGGGCATCGGCGTGCTGCCCGCGCAGCTGCTCCAACTCGGCCCGGAGAGCGTCGTAGCGGGCCAGAGGGACGACCTCCGCGGGGCCAGCCGCCCCCATCTGCGTCTCGTCCTTCTCGAACTCCTCCAGGATCTGGGCAGGGGAGGCGGGCAGGCAGGGGTTGCCGCGGCCCCAGGGGCACGGGGCGGCCTCACCACCTTCCCTGCCCACCCCAACCCTGCGGAACAAGCCCTCAGCCCCTCGGATCTGCCGCCCGCCTCAGTTTCCCCACCTGGACCTTCTCCATCAGTTCGCGGTTCTGCCTGGTGAGTGCCGCCACCTGCTCCTGCAGCGAGGCCAGGCGCTCCTGGGCCGACGGGCTCAGCCGCCTGGACAGCAGGGCCTCGGGCCCTGGGGGCGGCGCCGAGTCAGGACCCAGGGCCCGGCCACAGGGGACCGGAGCTGGGCTCCGGAGGGGGGTCAGGCCCGGGCGGGGGGATAGAAACCAGGCGAGCGCAGACCTCCCTCCGGCTCCAGGTCCGCCCGCCCGCACGTGTAGGTCCAAGCTCTGTCCGAGGGCCCCGGCGCGGAGGGGGGCGCAGGTGCGGGGCGGGGGTGGCTCACCTGGGAAGTCGGGCAGCTCGCCCTCCTCGTCCTGCAGGGTGGACACGTCGTAGCTGGTGTTCTCCCGCTCGTTCTGGGGGCGGGAGAGCAGAGCTGGCTTGGGGTCCTGCCCGCTACCCTGCGTGTCCCCCGCTCAAAACTCCGGAGCGCACCCGGCCGTCCCCAAGCGCCAAGCAGCCGTGTCTGGCCCACACGTATGTGCTGAGTCCCTGCCCGTTTGTTGAACCGAGTTATCTGGCATTTTGGCTACTGACTGGTGACTTCCTCATGTGCTCTGGACATCAGCCCCGCACCGGACGTAGGGGGGCCTCGCACCCGCACCTTCCTGGGACGTGCGCGGCGGCCACTTCCCTCCCGGCTGCGGGGCCCGGGGCAGGGGTGGCCACATGGCTGCGCGAGTGCTTGTCTGCGTGAGTGGGCACCCACGCTGCCCACTCTGCACCCCACAGCTTGCCGTAGGCATGCTCGGGGTGACACGTGTGGGTGTGCGTGCCACGTGTGTTCTTGTGACTGTGCGATCTCAGGCTTGCGATTTCTTTTATTATTATTTTAAGACACATTCTTGCTCTGTCACCCAGGCTGGAGTGCAGTGGCGTCATCACGGCTCACTGCAGCCTCCGACTCCTGGGCTCAAGCGATCCTCCTGCCTCAGCCTCCCGAGTAGCTGGGACCACAGGCACGCGCCACCATGCTCGGCTAGTTTTTTCTACTTTTGGTAGAGACGGGGTCTCACTCTTGCTCAGGCTGGTCTCAAACTCCTGGCCTCAAGCGATCCTCCCACGTCGGCCTCCTAAAGTGCTGGGTTACAGGCATGAGCCACCGGCCCGGCCCATGCTCCAGTCTGCTGTGTGCGCGTGGCAGTTTCGAATGTGTTTGTGCATTTACGTGTGTACGGGTGTGGTTGTCCGTATGTATGTGTGTTTCTGTGTTTACGCGTTTGGGGATCCCTTTGCCGTGCACGTGTGTGCTGTCTGCACACACGAGAAAGCTCTGCCCGGTGCGCGTGTGCACACGAGGGTACGGTCGCGTGTGATGCACGCGTGAGATGGTGTGTTCACGGTGGCTTCTTGTGTGGCCGTCACCTGTGCGTTTGTGGGTGCGCCTGCTGGTGTCCATGTAAGATCGTGTGTCTATGAGCATGTGTGTACATGTGTGTTTGGAGTAGCGGCATGTGTGTGTGCATGTGTGTCTGCGGGGGGGGTGTGAGTCTGTGTGTGACTGTGGGATTGCATGCACGTGTGTGTGTGAGGCCGTGTGTGCACTGGCGTGGCTGTCACGCCACCGCACGGGGGAAGCCCCCCCCCCCCCGCCCCTGCTCCCACCTCCAGCAGCGACAGGCGGCTCTGCAGGCTCTCCACCTCGCGGCCCAGGCTCTCCTTCTCCTGCTGCCTCTCCGCCAGCAGCCGCTGCAGCTCCTGCACCTGCGGGCGCGGCGGCTCAGCCGGCCCCGGGGCACGCCCGGCTCTGGGGGCCGCCCGGCTCTGGGGGCCGCCCGCCCGGCTCTGGGGGCCGCCCGGCTCTGGGGGCCCGCCCGGCTCTCCAGCCCGCCGCCCCCGCCCCCGCCTACCTGCCTCTCCAGGCTGTGCAGGGAGCCGGCCTCCGCCTCTGGTGGCTGAGAGGACAGAGGGGACAGGGCTCGGACCTGGGCGAGGGCCCGGCCCTGCCGCCCGCTGCGCAGCCTCCTACACCCCAGGCGTCCCCCGCCCTCCCCCAGTGCCGCACACGCTCACCGAGCACCACGCTGTGCCAGACACCGTTCTCCTGCCCCTCCTCACTGGGTATTCGCTGAGTGCCTACTGTATGCCAGACACCATTCTGCCTGCCCGCTCCTCACTGGGTATTCGCTGAGCGCCTACTGTATGCCAGACACCATTCTGCCTGCCCGCTCCTCACTGGGCATTCGCTGAGTGCCTATTGTGTGCCAGCCATTGCCTTGACAGCTCACTCAGTATTTATCAAGCACCTACTGTGTTCCGGACACCATTCTGCCTGCCCGCTCCTTATTATTTATTGAGCACCTACTGTGTTCCAGACACCATTCTGCCTGCCTGCTCCTTACTGAGTATTCACTGAGTGCATACTGTGTGCCAGCTCTTGCTCTGACTGCTCACTCAGTATTTATTGAGCACCTGCTGTGTTCCAGACACCATTCTGCCTGCTCACTCCTTATTGAGTATCTATCGAGCACCTGCTGTGTGCTAGACACCATTCTGCCTGCTCGCTCCTTACTGAGTATGTATTGAGTGCCTGCTGTATGCCAGACACCATTCTATCCACTCATTCATTCATCCATCCATCCATCCATTCGCTCACTCAGTCACTTGGCTATCCCTTCATCCAATAAATATTTATCGGGCATCTACTGGGAGCCAGGCACCCACCGCCATGTCTGCCCTCGCGTTTACAGTCAAATGGGGGGACGTGAATTGTTGGGGGCAGAGTGAGGAGGGGAGGGAGGGAGGAGGGGTGGTAGGGGAGGGAGGGGAGGGAGGGGAGCCTTCCCCCCCAGGCCGGGCCCCAGGCCTGTCTCTGCTGCCTCCGAACCTCCTGCTTCCTCTGTTCCTTGTGCTGTTCCAGCCCCCGGATCTTCTGCAGGAGGCGGCCCCTCTCCTGCCGCAGCCTCACGATCTCTTCATAGGCGTCTCGGTCGTCCTGCCCCTCCCCGCCCGCACCGTTAGCAGAGGCCCAGGGCTGCCCGCTGGGGGCTCTCCTCCCCCGCCCCCACGGCCGGGGCATCTCTCACCGGCACAGGGGCGCTGGCGGGGGGTTGCGGCGCCTTCCGCTTCTTGGGGGCCCCCCGCTTTTCATGGCTGGACACAGAGTTCTAGCGGGCGCGGGGAGTGGGGACTGAGTCAAGGGGGCCTGTGGGAGCCATGCCAGCCCCCACCCACCCAAATAAGCCAACCCAGCCGGCCCCCCTGACTCCTGGAGAGGCTGAGCAAGTCCCAGGCCACGGTTTGGCCCCGTCACCCCCCACCCCAGTTTCTCACCCAGTCTGGGAGTTATGCTGTGCACGCTGCCGCCACTTAGTGACAGCGTACCCTGAAGACGGCATTCTCTCCAGAGTTTCCCAGGGGTAACTCCGGGATAGGAGTCTGCCTCTTTCTTGTCTCCTCCCAGAGCTCGGGGCGCAGTGGGAGTGTGGGCAGGGCGGGGAGGACTCACCCACCACTCGGGGACCCGTACCTGAGACGACGCTTCGCCCGAGTCATCCTCTGGGAGGGCAGGGGACGGAGGGAAGCCGAGTCAGGCACGCTCTTCCCAGCCCTGGGAAGGGCACTGCTGCACCCAGGGGATGTGCAGGGGCTCCCCGTTCCCCAAGAAGCAGGACTTTCAAAGGGGAAACCCCCCACTTGGGCAGAACGCTGAAAGGAGAGGCCTCGAAACTCTCCGAGGGAGAGAACCCAGGCGCCTCCCAGGTGGGGCGGGCGGGGCGCCAATTCTTAGGAAAGGCAAAGATCTAAGGATAAGGACCGACCCAGGCCGGGCGAGGTGCCTCACGCCTGTAATCCTAGCACTCTGGGAGGCAGAGGCCAGAGGGTCGCTCAAGGTCCGGAGTTCGAAACCAGCCTGAGCAAGAGCGAGATTCCGTCTCTACTAAAAATAGAAAGAAATTAATTGGCCAACTAAAAATATATATAGAAAAAATTAGCCGGGCATGGTGGCGCATGCCTGTAGTCCCAGCTACTCGGGAGGCTGAGGCAGGAAGATCGCTTGAGCCCAGGAGTTTGAGGTTGCTGTGGGCTAGGCTGACGCCACGGCACTCACTCTAGCCCGGGCAACAGAGTGAGACTCTGTCTCAAAAAAAAAAAAAAAAAAATAGGATGGCCCAGAAAAGCAGGGCGGACCCCAGACTGCTCTAACTGCCCTGGCCCTCCTTGAAACTGTCCTACATAGGATTGGGCAAGCCCTGGAACCTCCTAGAAGACAGCAAATGGGGGACCTTGAAACTATTCATGCTAGGGAAAGAAGGGGTATACAAGTACATGGATGGGCCTAGGAAATAAACAAAAGAAAAAAGAAAAATAAATGTATATAAATATATAATTAAAATTAAAAAAAAGAAGAAGGGGTGACAAGAAACTGCCCTGGAACCTCCTAGAAGACAGCAAATGGGGGACCTTGAAACTATTCATGCCAGGGAAAGAAGGGGTGACAAGAAACTGCCTAGAAGGACATGCGGGGTGCGCAGTGCTTAAAGTGGCTCCGGGGCGGCCTGCGTACCGCTGGGCGGGGAGGGGCGCCGGGCCGCCTCCTGCAGCAGGTGGAGGATGAGTTTGTCCCCTGCCAGGGCGCCGTAGTGAGCCGCGTCCTGTCCCAGCGCGTCGGTGATGCCCGGCTGGGCCCCAGCCTGGAGCAGCACCTCCACGGTTTCGGGGCTGGCCCCCTCGCAGGCCAGCATCAGGGCCGTCCTGCCAGGGGAGGGGCTGCTGAGGAGGCGAGCACGTCCCCCCAAGCCCCCACGTCCTCCTCAGCACCCACGCCAGGTTGGGGAGAGAAAGCCGACTAGATCCCCCACTCAGAGAGGTTAAGAGACTTGCCCAAGGTCACACAGCACACAGTGGACCAACTGAGAGGGGAGACGCATACCTGCCCTGCAGGTCCTGGTCATTCGCGGCAGCCCCCCGCTGCAGGAGGAGGCGGCACAGGTCTGTGTGACCCATCTGAGCTGCTATAATGAGGGGCGTTGCACCAGACTGGTAGGGAGGCGGAGGGATGAGATGGCATGAGAAGCTGGCCCCCCCCCGGGAGATAGGGAAGCCTAGGACAACCCTTGAGCTGCGCCCCAACCTTTCTCACGCTTTGCAAAGGGTGCTTGGGATGCTGCCACTTGGTGGCAGCATACCTCACATGTAGTATCTTCCCCAAAAGGATCCCAGAAGCTCACCGGATCGCGGGGGTTCAGATGCGCCTTGAAGGAGCAGAGCATCTCTGAACAGGAGAGACAGCCACCAGCCACTGGAGGAGAGAAAAGGAGGGAGAGCAGGGGTAGAGATGGTCCACTGTGGTTCCCTCCTAAAGTGGAAGTTTTCACCGGTTCTCATGGATTTCCTCTTTTTCTGATTCAACCAGCATTCATAGTGCACCTACTGTGTGTCAGAGTGGAAGCAAGGAGGCTCACCAAGAGGCTGCTCAGCCCCTGGAATCCCCAGGTTTTAATCCCAGCATGTTAAGGTACCCTCTGATTAAGTACAAGGATCCATTTTTCAGTCAAAAAACTCTATCTGAATACCTGCTGCATACCTGAGGGACTATGGGGTTTTGTCTGGACGCTTACAATGATGCATGACACATAGCAGGAGTTCAGTAAGTGTTCATGGAACGAAAAAAAACAATGAGCTTCCGCAGTGTAACCAGAGGCAGTGCCGCCACTAGGTGGCAGCGTACCCCAACTGCAGGGAATTTTTACCCAGTGACGAAAAGCCCAAAGCAAACCCAAATTTATTGTGTTTTTAAAAGAACTGACATTTCTGGAGGGGAAAGGAGTGCTGGTTTGATGGTTATGCAGGTGCTGGCTGCCTGGACCTTTGGAGCCCCTAGGAGTTCCTCCAAGGCAATGAACCCCTGGGCACCGGCCCTCATGCCCAGAAAGGCATGGAGTTCAAATAGGCTGCGGTTTGGGGTCCAATGACCTGGATCCCCTACAACTTACTGCTGTGGGCAAGTGACAGAGCCTCACGTAGCCTCATCTGCCCAACGGGCTGACAGCCTGAGGCTCAAAGGGTGTCTGGGACTCACGAGGCGCCCCCGTGCCGGGCACACAGTAGGGGGGCAGGGAGGTCCACAGCAGGTCTGCAGGGTCCTGGGTGGAACAGTCCCCAAGCCCGGCACCCTCCGGAGTGCCGTGGGCAGGGCAGGGCTGCACCCACCTACCTGCGTGGTGCAGGGCGGTCCACCCACTGCTGTCCACGACGTCCACCGCGCAGGAGGCCTGCGGAGGGGGCGGGGCACTTGAGGCAGAGCCGTCCCTCCGCCTGGCCTGAGTTCTCTAGGACCCCTCCCCTCCCCCTGCACTCTGCCTCCTCTTGCCCCTGTCCCCCTGCCTGTCCCGTGGAGCCCGCCTCCTCGTACACCCCCCAAGTGAGAGAGAGGGAGTAGCTGGGAGCTTGGGGAGTAGCTGGGGGCCCTGAGAGTGGCCGTGGCCAAGAAAGGTCCTAAGGTCTGGGGAGGAAGGGAGCTCGGGAAACATCCAGATCGGAAGTGTGCCTTAGGTGGGAGAAGCATCTAGAATGCTCAGAGAGTATCTGGTGACCCAGGGAGTAGCTGGGGCCCTGGAGTAAGAGGGGCCAAGGACTAATTGGATTTGCAGAGCTCCTGGGGGAGGTCAGGGAATTGCTGGAACTCAGGAGCAGTAGGGCCCGCCGGAGTATCTGGGGTTCAGGGAGTATCTGAGGCGAGAAAGGAAATGACCTGCAGCAGCTGCTTCAAGCACTGCGGGTGCCCGTACTTGGCGGCTAGGTGGAGAGCGCTGTAGCCTGGAAGGGAGAGGAGGCGCACCAGAGCCCAGATACTCGGCCGCTCCCGGCTGCTCCCCGAGCCCCCTGTGCCAGCTGTCGGTGATGCGTCTCCCTGTGTCTAGCAAGTCCCCAAACCCCGCGGACGTCCCAGAGCCGCGCTGCTTCCTGCGGCCAGAGACTCTCCGAGACAATCCCATCCCAGCGACACTCCACTCCCACCTCCCCCTCAAGCCCTGTTACTCCAGCTACTCCTCCTGTCCTCAGCTGCTCCGTGTAGCCAGCTCTGGCCCTCACGATCCGCGGTTGTTGCACGCGTCCCTGCTAATCCACAGCCAAGCTGTGTGTCCTGCCTGCCGCACCCTCTGCCCCGTGCCCTGATGCCCCCGAGTCCCCACTGCTCACCCTGGCCATGCATTTCATCTCGGTTCTTCCCACAGGTCCCCCGAGAAGTCGGACGTCCAGATTCTCCTTTTGCCCCAGCTACTCCCAGCGCTCCGGCTACTCCCATGAACCCAGCTTCCCTCCCAAACTCCAGGTACTTCCCTACTTCAGTCCCTTTCCTTGATCTCAGATACTTCCACAGCCCAGGTGCCCCTCGACTCTCAGCTCCTCCCAGGATGCCAGCTATCTCCCAAGCCCCGGGTTCCCCCCTCTGCCTCCCCAAGCCCCAGCTACTTCCCTGTTCCAGCTACTTCCTCTAAGTCTAACTACCATTTGGGTTCTGGTTACTCCTCATCCACAAATTATTATTATTATTATTTTTTGAGACAGAGTCTCACTTTGTTGTCCAGGCTAGAGTGAGTGCCGTGGCGTCAGCCTAGCTCACAGCAACCTCCAACTCCTGGGCTCAAGTGATTCTCCTGCCTCGGCCTCTCAAGTAGCTGGGACTACAGGCGTGCGCCACCATGCCCGGCTAATTTTTTTTTATATATATATCAGTTGGCCAATTAATTTCTTTCTATTTATAGTAGAGACGGGGTCTCGCTCTTGCTCAGGCTGGTTTCGAACTCCTGACCTTGAGCAATCCGCCCGCCTCGGCCTCCCAGAGTGCTAGGATTACAGGCGTGAGCCACCGCGCCCGGCCTCCACAAATTATTGACCCACCGTGTCTGGTGCCGGCCACCGTCTCTGTCCTTGGGTAACCTCAGCCTAACGTGCCCCAGGGGGCAGTGGGGGGCGGAGAAGGGAGCCCCCTTTTCCAGCAGGGAACACGGAGGCCCCGAGCAGGCCCGGCTGGACCTTCAGTCTGGGCACCTGGTCTGAGTTCCTCCCCGAGCCCCAGGGGCCGGCGGGCGGTACCTGCCCCGTCCGTGCTCATGACATTGGCGCCGTGCGAAAGCATCACCTCCAGGCAGCTGCCCGCGCCCCTCATGGCCGCCAGGTGGAACCTGCAGGTCAGAGGTCAGGGGTCAGCCGCAGGGCGGCCTCCGGAGGCTCAGCCACGCCAGCCCTGGGGCGTGGGCACTCACGCAGACTTGCCCTCGGGGTCCAGCTTCGTGGGCACCAGCCCCTTGCGGGAGATGAGGGCGGCCACGCGGCCGGCGTCGCTGTTCTCCACGGCCTGCAGCAGCCGCTCGTCGCCCTTGCCCCAGTCTTGGCTCTGCGGGGCACAGCCAGGGCGCGTGGGGCGGGGTCGGCCGCTGTCCCCTCCCCGCTGCCCCCGGCGGGGGCTCCGGCCTGTGACCCCCGCCCCTGGGCACTTGCCTGGCGCCTGCCTCTGGCCGCCGGCTTCGGGAGCGGGCAGGGGCCGCAGGGCGGGCAGGAGCCGAGGTCGGCGGGGCTGAGCCGCAGCTGCGGGGGAGGCGGTCCTGGGCGGGAGCCTGGGCCAGGGTCCCCCAAGCCTGTGCCCCCCCCCGCATCTGCCCCCAGGCCCATCACCCCTTGTCCCCCCAACACCCACGGCCAGGATCATCCTATTAAACCGTCCCCTGAGCAGCCCCAGCAACTATTTCCAAGAAATTGTCCCCCACACCGAGACCCCAACTCCATCCGAAGTGAAAAGCCCACTTTACAAATTCACCCCAAAACTGACCCTTTTCCAAACTGCCCTCCACCTCCTCCCCAGCTGAACCCCTAAAAGGTCCCTGTGAACGTCGCTCAGACCCATCCTCCGCCAACTGCCCTGGAATGCCACAGCTGTCCCCCCAAATCCCTGTCCCCCACAGACAGCCTGGGATGCCTTCCAAAATGTCTCCCTCCCCAGGCCGCCCGCTCCCCCGCCGCTGCCCCACCCGTGGAGGGGCGCGCCCACTGGCTGGCGGGCGGGCGCGGCCGGCGGTGGCGAGCTCCGGCGCCCGGCCTCCCGCGGCCCCCGCTGCGCCCGGTCCCTCGGCGCCCGGGAGCCCGGCCGCCAGAAGCAGCTGTGCCTGTGCGCGGCGCCTCCTCGCGTAGGCCGGGAGGGCCGCGGCGGGCGCGCCCCTCCCCTCCCCTCCCCTCCCCTGCCCGCCCCGGCTCGCCCCTGCCGGACTCCAGACAGATGGGGGAGGGGGCCGACGTTGGGGACAGCTGGGGGGATGGACGAGACCCTTGGAGAGACAGTTCTGAGGCGGATGGGGACATTTGGGAGACTTTAGAGGCATCTGCGGAGACAGTTTTAGAAAAACTTTTTGGAGACGTGGGTCATTTGGGGGACACAAGTCGGAGACTGTTTGGGGCGCCGTTTCTGGGAAGAGACACCACCACTTGGGGAAACAGTTTTGGGACCATCCGAGGGATTTTGG